GCAACGGCCTCAGCAGAGCGCTTAACATTGTCGATGGCTTCGGCAGCACGCTTGGCCTTATGGCAGACCTGTCCGGGCCACCTGCACCACCTTTGAGGTGCGGCCTCGGCCTCGGCGTCCCGTTTGGCAAGGTCAAGGGCGGCAACTATACGCTTTGACTTATGGCAGACCTGTCCGGGCCACCTGCACCACCTCTGGGGTTCGGCCTCAGCCTCAGCCTCAGCCTCAGCCTCGGCTTCGGCCTCCGGCATCGCATCGGCATTCCGCTTGGCAAGGTCAAGGGCGGCAACCACACGCTTGGACTTATGGCAGACCTGTCCGGGCCACCTGCACCACCTTTGGGGCTCGGCCTCAGCCACAGCCTCAGCCTCAGCGTTGGCTTCGGCCTCCGGCATTGCATCGGCGTCCCGCTTGGCAAGGTCAAGGGCGGCAACCACACGCTTGGACTTATGGCAGACCTGTCCGGGCCACCTGCACCATCGTTGGGGTTCGGCCTCAGCCTCAGCCTCAGCCTCAGCCTCGGCCTCCGGCATTGCATCGGCGTTCCGTTTGGCAAGGTCAAGGGCGGCAACCACACGCTTGGACTTGTGGCAGACCTGTCCGGGCCACCTGCACCATCGTTGGGGTTCGGCCTCAGCCTCAGCTGTAGGTGCAGCCTGGACAGCAGTGGCGACGAGCGCAACGAAAGCAACGGAGACAGAGAGGAGCTTCATGATGAAGAGAGCGTATTCAAGATTGTGTTCGAGAGTGAAGTCGAGAAGGAAGGACTCGCTTCCAAGATCGAACTGATGGGTTGGAGGTAAAGAAGGAAGAGATTGCTAGCTCTGATGCTGGCAATGACAGAAAGGAGAAGGACTGGAAATGTCAGCCAGTTTATAGATAGCCATATATGCTTATTGAAAACGCGAGCATACTATACTCACCTCACCAGGGCAATCATGGGGCATCCATTTCGAAACTCCAGTGAAAGAACTTGCCACGTTATTCAGACAAGTGGCTCTATTGAAGGCAAATAGCAAGAACACCTATTCTGTTGAATAGAGCCATGAGTCCCCATGGCCAAAGGCATGTATGGCTTTCAATAGATTCCTCACATTTTCGCCTATAGCTCAGGGAAGGGGTGACAAAGGGTCCCCAAAACTATAGTTAGAGCCCAGGCAACTTGAGGCTGCTAGAAGAGAGGCCTTTCTTCATGCAAGCTAGGTGAAGAGCAGCTGAATAGGCAATTGGCTGCCACATTCGTGTCACATGTTGAAACCTTGAATAAGTCAAAGCATGCCAAAAGAGAGAGGCTAATTGAGTAGAAACTGTGAACGGTTACTCTTTGCCAAAAATGGAGCTCAATAGAGCAAGCCACCTCAAAGCTGGCAATAGAGCTCTTTGTCTGTGAATAAGAAATCAATAGCTATTCATCAAACAAGAAGCCTTATTGATACGTCGGATAGGAAACATGGGACGTACCAGAGTGTGTGCTATCCACTGCTAAGAGCTCAGGGTGCACAACTTGTGAAAACATCTCCCAAAACCAGTACAAGGTGAAAAGGAGCCGGGCTCGAGGTCAAAGAAACTGGGATGGTTGAATCAACATGGGAGTCGGTTCGGGTTCAAATAATGAGAATGTGATTCCTTAGATAAGATCGGCCCGTGCAATGTCATTTGGCGATGCATGCCGAGAGGATCCGCCGTTTTTTCCGGTGCCTCGTGCAGCATCCCAGTCTTCTTCCATCCATTCTTTCTTTTCCCTCCCTCCGCCAGGTCTCCTCCAATCCGGACTCTCCCCTCAATTGCTCTGTTCTTTGTTCACTCAAGATGTTTGCCTCAAGGACAGTTCATCCCGCTAAGGTATGTCAAAAAAAAAACACCTCTCTTGCAGCCTCCGTCCTATCTTTCTCCCGTCCATCAGCCTCCGTCTGGCGAAGTCCGCGCACAACACCTTACCTGTACACGCCGTTGTCCTATACCCTTCACCCTTATACTCACTCACTTTCTATCTAGTCGCTTTTCCGACGCGCTGCTGCTCAACCTTCTTTCGCCCGCTCCTCGGCTGCGGCAAGATGTGCGTTCGTCTTAATATATCCGATTGTCGGAAGAATATGCTGTTAACGCTCCGATATCAGCTTTCGCAACAGTCCAGCAGGATATTTTCAAGCCCACGAAATATGGTGGCAAGTACACCGTGACGCTTATTCCAGGTACGCTTAATAAGTTCGCTTATACTTGCGACGTCGTTGATCGACCCCTCAACCAACTAATGCCTTATACTTGATTTACTAGGTGATGGTATTGGTGCTGAAGTCGCGGAGTCAGTCAAGACTATCTTCAAGGCCGACAATGTGCCCATTGAGTGGGAACAAGTTGATGTAAGCGGAGTGGACACCGGCAACAAGCATTCTGAAGAACTATTCAAAGAGTCCATTGCTTCCCTTCGACGAAACAAGCTCGGCCTGAAGGGTATCCTTTTCACTCCGGTTGAGCGCTCCGGCCACCAGTCATTCAACGTTGCTCTTCGACAGGAACTTGATATCTTTGCTTCCGTCGTGCTTATCAAGAACATCCCCGGCTATCAGACTCGCCACAACAATGTCGACCTCTGTATCATCCGTGAAAACACTGAGGGTGAATACTCTGGCCTTGAGCACCAGTCTGTCCAGGGAGTTGTCGAGTCATTGAAGATTATCACTCGCGCTAAATCTGAGCGTATCGCCAAGTTCGCTTTCAGCTTCGCGCTTGCCAACAACAGGAAGAAGGTCACTTGTATCCACAAGGCGAACATCATGAAGCTTGCGGACGGTCTGTTCCGCAGCACTTTTCACAAGACTGCTGAGAACTACCCCACTTTGGAAGTCAACGATATGATTGTCGACAATGCTTCTATGCAGGCTGTCTCTAGACCTCAGCAGTTCGACGTGATGGTCATGCCCAATTTGTACGGCGGTATTCTTTCCAACATTGGCGCCGCCCTCGTTGGCGGACCCGGTGTTGTTCCCGGATGCAACATGGGACGCGATGTTGCCGTCTTCGAGCCTGGTTGCCGTCACGTTGGTCTCGATATCAAAGGAAAAGACCAGGCCAACCCTAGCGCCATGATTCTGTCTGGATCCATGCTTCTCCGCCACCTCGGGCTGGATGACCACGCCAACCGCATCTCCAAGGCTGTCTACGACGTGATTGGTGAAGGGTGAGTGTACTCTACTCCTATGTTCTTAAATTCACTAACAAATTCGCTAGCCAAACGCGAACCCGTGACATGGGCGGTCAGGCTTCCACTCATGAGTTCACCCGTGCCGTCCTTGACAAGATGGAGGCGGCTCTGTAAACCTCCCTCGATGAACCTTGTTGAGGTCATTATTACATTGTTTTGACAGCGAGATCTTGTACAGCTTGTGAAATGACTGAAGGTCAGCTTGGCTTTTTGGTTTCCGTCGCCGTAACCTATGTATCACCCTGAATATTACTGAAGACGTCTCTCGCAGTTGTAAAACAAAGCCGGCTGTCTAAGATGTGTGAAGATGTATGTGTGGTTCAAATAGAAGTATCTTATATTCCAAGTCGTGAATTCTCAATCACCAGAGTCTCGGGCTATCCATTGATTCCCCCAAGGCGCAAATATTCTCAGGTCTCGTTTGCATCCATAATCCCTAAGGTGCTATACGCTTGCTTGAAACCACATACTCAATACTTAATGCCTCCATTCTTGCTGTATACGGACCGCAACCTGAAGGAAATGGAGCTCGCAAGATTTCTCTGAAGTGGAGGCGACGTGCTTCCCGAGCCGCGTGAAGTATTGACGCAGCGCATTGACGGAGTCTGATACCAGAAGTAAGATTCTGGTCGTGATACTTGGCTCGGGTTCCTGGCTATCGCTTATGCAGCGGTTTGGGGTATAACGAAAATGTTCTTGATGGTGCCAGCCGATCAGAACGCTGGGCGCCTTTTGCGGCCGGTGTACTTTGAATTCGCTTTGACGACTTTGCCTTTCTTTGTCATCTGTTCTTTCTTTCGCAAGATCCAAGCCTTATCGCCCTTCCTGGCGCTCGACGTCCTACCGTGTTCCAAGGCCTTTCTTCTCGCATCCATGACATCCACATCACTCATCCCATCTACCACACCGGTGATATCGCCCTGTAGACCCCCGCCACCAACAGTCAGAACAAGGTAGAGCTTGCTGTTCTTCGTACCGGGGTCGTCTTCCAAAATACCGGCGCCAAAACCGGCCTTGATAGCAGCGCCGCTGATCATCGTGCGCTGGGCATCGTTTTTGGGGTAAAATTGACAAACGGCGCGCCCACCACGTCGAAGACTAGCAAATAGGCCCTCGAAGAATCTCCGAAGACGACCCTCTGGACTAACATCGCTTGTCTCCGCATTGCACAGCCACTGGATGGCACTGATGCTGATTGCTGCATCGAACGTTCCCGGTCGAAACGGTACGCCCTGGCCGATATCCGCGAGAAATAAATCACCATCTACTCCTCGCTGTAGTGCTATGTCGAGCATGCTAGGCGATATATCCATTCCAATCCATGTGTGTGGACCGCCTTGCTCGCGCGGCTCTTGAGAGAGTATCTCACCAGACAAGCCTGAGCCGCAGCCAATGTCAAGAATTAACGAGGCCGCTTTGAGGTCAAGAAGCTCAAGAGCCCTGTGTGTCATGTCTGCCTGGATGTTGCGAATCCGAGATGAAGTGGTATACTTTCGAGATTCGCTGTCATCGTAGAAGAGATCCGGGGGTCTTTGGAGAATTGCGTTAGTGATAAGTTGACGTTGACCTTTGATATTTTGAACTCACAGGACATCTTCGGGACGCGACATTGCGAAAATTTTGGCGCGAAATCTGATCTTCAGGTATAGGACGCTGTAGACAAAACAAGAACAGTATAGTACTCACGATATGGGAGGACATATATTTTTTTTTGACCGGACCGCCAGCTTAGCGTGGGGTTATTGCCTGAGGCATGAAGCCATCTATGCAAGATTGCTTTAGTATATGTCTCACTCTCACCTGTTCCATACCTAGCTACGCGAGCCTAACTTATCCAATCTAATTCTCAATTGATGGTTATGCCATTGCCATTACACAGAAGAGGCGCCGTACTCAGATTACCCGTTAACCCTTTCGTTCATCCACAGCTCCCTTGCAACCGTCACTTCACTAGCCCTTGAACTCGTCGGTGCCGTCGTGCCTGCAGAATGTGGATATTACCATTAGTAGGGTATTTGGGGATGGTTGTAGGATTTTGCTTTCTCACTTTAGCCATAGGTAAGACCTTCCAAACTTGGATACTCCTAGCATGCACAGCCTGCACTGAATAACCGTGCACATGAAATCCTGTCTTCTGGTAATCCTGGGACATTAACACATCTTTCCAGCATCGGGCCTCTATTATCTTTCTGAACTCGTTGAAGAACACACCGTCATAGCTCGCCGGCTTCTATCCCGCCTAATATACGGCATAATCGCAATCCAAATATTGCTCTTTTTCTTCGACAAGTTCCCCTTCTCGCTCTCCCTTCTCAGCATCGGCTCCCACATTGTCTACGCAAGCAACCTCCGCCGCTTCCCCATAGTGAAACTCTCAGACCCGTTCTTCATCCTTTCTTGCTTCCTCGTTGGCCTCAACCACTGGCTCTGGTTCCGGCACTTTTCGAAGCCCGCGACGCCGCCTCGGAGCTCAACGAGCTGGCGCCAGCCGTACAATATTAGTCCCAGCGACATGCCGACGTTTACAGAAGTGGCCTCATATTTTGGACTCTGTGTCTGGTTGGTACCCTTTGCGCTGTTTGTCAGTTTGAGTGCGGGAGAAAACGTGCTGCCTACAATGGGATCTGAATATGCGACGGGCGAGCCCGTTCCGACGGCTGGGCTAAGTCGGGGGTCTCTGGGGACTGATGGGAAAAATAAGAATAAAGGCATGGCCAAGGCCTTGGTTGATGGTGTACGCGAGTGGGTTAGTGAGAACGGGGAGTTGATGGGGTTTTGGAAGGGCGATCGTGCAAAGCGGTTTTAGGGGAATGTGTTATATAGTCTTGATGCATTGTATAATTTGATGGGTATAATGAAGCTAGTACCCGACATGCATTATACTAACCTGGAATAGTTCTACGACTCCACAACTGGGGACCCTTAAATTCTTATTGAAACCATTAACCATAGAATGCATCTAATCAAAATAAAGGGGTATAGAGTTCCTGTAGTCACCAACGTAATCACAGGCACAAAAGAGATTTATACAAAAGGGCACTTAAAAGCATTGGGGCAGTCATGAGCCCGTAAGTCACATTTCAAACTTAAGACAAGCGACGCAGTGGGAGAATGAAGACTGACATCAGTCAAATATGGAGGCCCCGGTTATCATTAGTATTAGGCGTCTAGGCCGCTCATCAGGAGCTAGCTCGATCGTACTCGGTAGGCAGTTCAGGCATTATAAACGTCGTTGCATATTCGTTCGAATCGTTCCGCTCGACCATGCAAGCAGTATCATGGTGTAAGCGGTAAGTTGGAATAGAAATAAAAAAGTTTCGAGGCAGAGCAGTTTCGGTGACAATTTCAGCTAAAGAGCAAGGGCGACCGGTGTGCTTGTCTGAATAAGAAAGTCAAGCTATATTCGGAGTTAGCATCTCGGCGCCGGAGATGAAGGCGATCGACACAGTACTTACCGAACGTGTCATTGGACGCCGGAGGCGAACCATCGCTATTGATGTCCATAAAAAGAATGTTGCTTTCCCTTCGCTTGGCCTTGGCACTGCGATTGTTGTCAGATTCTGGAGCCAGCGTCCTGCTCACAGCGGCTGGCGGTTGGTTGTAGAGCTCCGTTCTGTCAGGAGCGAAAGCTTCATAGCTTGGTTGCATGGAGATGAAGCCAGTATCATGATGCGGATTGTGGTTGTTGGGATTGTCCCCGGACCTAGGAAAGGTCATCTGATTATGGGCTGGCGTGGGAATATCAGAGAACATTTGGCGACGGGGAGATCTAATGTCCTCCGGCGTCAAGGAGTGATCAACGGCCAAGTCCATTGGGTTTGCATTGTATTCTGGTATATCGTCAAAAATTTCATCGTAGTCAGTGAGAAACATTGAAAAAACGGGGGCCGGTATATTGAGAGTAGGAGCAAAGACTATGCCCACATTCCTGACAGTCATTTTGTTAACATCAGAGTTGTTAACAATGACAATCAGAAATTGAACCAATGCTCGCAGTAAGGCCAAGTTTGGCTTTGGAAGTCTATTAACCAATGAATTGAACGCCGTGACTTTATTCGGCTTATCGTTGATATCTGAAGGCAGCATTATGAGTTATTATCGTTGCATGGAAAAGCATGAGGTGTTATGCTTACCAAGGACACGCAAGAATTCGATATGCAATTCGCGCGTGAGAACAGTAGATGGTAACTCCCGGAGGTACTGTTTGAACAGTGAGGCTACAGCATGCACGTCATAATACTCATCTCCGGCAAGGAAGTCCACGTCTCCTTCAGTATTGAAACGCTCTCTCAAAGCCTTTACAACGACGTTCGATCCGCTCAATCGGAATATGCCTTCCTCGAACTCCGCCTTTTTAGCCCTGAGATATTCTAGGCAGCGATAAACCACGGCAGGTAAATCGACATCGATGTCAAACGGCGCGCAATCTCGCACCGCTTCTACCAAAGGCATCCCAAAAACTGGTTTGATCAACTCCCTTTTTTCACCGCTAGCACCGTGAAGTTGGATGGCAGGAACCTCGGAAACAGCTTGAAAATGGGAAGCAAGATCAATCGATGACCTTGTACGAAATCCCCAGATGCTACGCTTCTTCTCTTTGGTGCTTGTTGTGGTCTTGTTTCCCCATGCCCCGGCGTCTTGAATCACGGCACCATTCGTAGGTGCAGATATTATTTTTGACGAGATCTGACCATGATCGGACTGGTTCATATCGCTTGGATCCTGGAATGCACCCGTCGTCGGGAACAATGGCGACCTTGGTGTCCGCGAATCAGAAGTACCGATAACAGGTGGTTCAGCAGGGATAGCGTCTTCGAAACTGAAGCCCTGAACGGTGTCAAAGGTCTCCAGGTCAGGACTATCAGTCTCTCTGCTGCCTTTTCTGCCACTGTTGGAGAATAGCTTGTTTCTCGAAGAAGTGTTTCCTGTGATATTGCTTGCTACCTGAGCAGCCATAGTTTTCTCATCTACCGAAGCGCCTTCGACATATTCTAGGAGCGCTTCAACCCATGTATCTCTCTCGTCATCGCTTTCAGCGCACAAAACGTGGCGCACAAGAGCGGAAGAGTCCTTCTTTTTCGGCTCCAATATAAGGAAGGCATGACGATACTGATTGTCAAAATCGTCCTCGTCGAGTCGCGATGATGTGCCCTGCGCCGTCTGTGACTGTTTCCCGATCTGCGCATTGGAGATTTTGATGGTTCCAAGATGGGCGCCTCCTGGGGCTTCGAAATACTTGAGCTCGGGACCATGCAAGACGAAGTAGCGCGCCTTCCAGCCGCCAAAGTTTTTGCCTCTTTTTGTCAAATAACCCTCCTTCCTAGGCTTTCCATCTGGACCGCGTGCGATATCGGACCCCGGCTGGATGCTACCTTTAAGCAAGCTCGTTTCGTCATCTCGGGGTTCGATCGCATCAGAAGTAAGGAATTGACAAAGGATCAATGCTGCTCTTTCATCCATAGGGTTGTCGAGGAGGTCTTCAAAATACGAATTTAAAGCAGCGCGTCTCGCATCTACTTTCGCAGGAGATTGCCCACTGAATATAGACCGGTCGGGTAGTTTCGCTTGAAGATGAGACAAGTGTCTTATTTGGTTATCGAGTTGAGGTAGCGCTGCAATGACTTTTTCAACCCGCCAGAGTTCTGAATTCTCCGAGCGGGAGAAAACACTCAATGTGAAAACTGGTTCATCGTCTAGTGGTCGCGAGGCGAAGTAGCTATTTCTAGAAGGCCGCAATCTCGAGGACGAGACTTTCACCTGGATAAGGGGGAGTGCATTCGGGGGCAGTAGAAGATTTGGATAATCGTCTGACCTCAAACCTTGGTGAATCCCGCTGAGCATCGATCTCGGAGATTGAGGGCTATCGATTTTCACAGCTGCGTCGATTGATGGTATAGGGCGGTTGAACGGATCGAAATGGAATTGGGAGTGTGTAGGTGTGTTAGTTACCACGGCGATCTGACCCTTTCCAAGGCGGGGGTTTAACGCAAGTCCCGTTGGATTGTTCCCTGAGGACATAGCCAAGGAAGAGAATGAAGTCGGCATTTCCCTTGGCATACGCGGCGTTGGAGAACCAAGAGGCCGGTCCTCAGGGCGCGGGCTAAGAGGTAAACCGGGACTCTTTGGGCCATTCATGAGGTGACGATCAGTGACTGAAGACTGACCCATACGAGGGGTAATGACATCCGGGGGTACTATTCGGCGTATATCTAAGGACGGTTGGCCTGCAGTTGTGGTTGTTGGGTTTTCACTATGCTTTGAAGAAAGAAGTTGGGGTTGCCCCAAGGGGTCGACATCCGGCCTCTCCTGAGACAAAACTGCTTCTCGTTCTCTGTCATCATCGGCCCTTGTCTTTCGCCTCCCGCGTTCTATTGGCGACTCTTCGACCGTAAGAATGTCTTCATATTCAGACTCGGAGTCAGACGCTTCGCGTAACGCTGTGGCGCGGTCCGGGTGGCCCAAGTTTAACGGTGCAGGAGGAGGCTTTCGGGCAGGATCTGGAGATTTTTGGCTTTTGCTAGTCCCAAACGCGGGGCGCGAGCTGGCCAAAGACGCCGGGCTTGTGGCTGCTGATGTCTCTTGGAACGAGGCCTGCTGTTGAAAATTCTGCGAGTCAAAGCGTAAATCAGGTTCCTCCGTAAGCAACTCGGTCTTAATAAGCTGTTTCAAACTAGGACTGTTTTTGAGGGAGTCCCGGCGGTCGAACGTGTTGGCAATCTTGCTGCTGTGGGTGTCCTGCGCTAGGGCCTGGCCGTTTGAAGCACTAGTTGACCCTGCAGTGACAGGTTGCGAAGGATCAATTTCCGTAGGCGGGAGTGGTGGTACTGCGGTCTGGAGTTCTTTAGCTCTCTTCTTGTATCGCTCTTTGTCTTTTAAAGCACGTTCCAGGTCCTTGTTCAGACCCATAATCAGAGTGCGCTGCTTATCAACGAGTTTCCATAATTGCGTGTTTTGAGAAGCCGCATGGTGTTTCTCCTTTAAAAGATGTATGATAACAGCGTCTGGAGACCCGGCCGCATTTATTAGATTGTCAATATCTGCTTGACTGACCGCATTGGCATCGAAGGACGACTTGTGAGACTGCGAAGCGGATGAAAGAGATGATATTGCAGAATCAATAGACGAGGTACGTGGCATAGCACGATGCCCCGTCCTCTCTCTTTTGTTTGATTGCAGGGAGCCGATGGGTGACATGATAGAAGGCGACATTGACTTGTTAGATTCAGTTGCATCAGAATCCTTTCGAGCCTTAGTGGTTTCATTCGCCTTGTCGGTCATTTTTCTGTCATTCTGACTGGCGCCAGACGCCCGTTGTGACGTGTGCAATGCGCTCGGGGTGATCGGATTAATTCTCGATGGAGGTGCAGGAAACGCAGCATGGGCGATCTCGCTGATGGTGGACAAATTTTCAAGGGGCGAAGTAGTTGCAGATGAGCTTGGTGATGCAGTTATTTGGGATAGACCCGAATCGGTCCGCTGAGGTGACAGGGTTCGTGCGCTTATGTGCAGGGGTGACGGTATATGCTTGCGGGGGGAAGCACTGACAGACGATCCAGAACGGAGGGCCTGCGCGCCCGAGAGTAATGCTAAAAAGATTCGCTGAAGATAAGATCATCTGTTTAACCTATCTAAATAAAAAAGGCCTGGCATGTATTTACCTGTCGGAGAGGCCGCGAAACTCGCGAAACTGGTATGCAGGGAGCTGAAGGTGTGATCACTACCCTGCCGCTGGTCCTGCGACATGACTTGATCAGGAGTCGAAGCTCAACTCGACCGGCGTGGGGGATGAGCCACGGTGGGCGCTTGCACGTTGCTAGCCACGAGCCGGTTCGACTGGGTCTTCCACCAGCGCTCAGGGGCAGGTCTCGGGACGAGATGCTGCCGGATTGGTATCCTTGTTTTTCCGTTCTTCAGGAACACCGACCCAACGTTGGGAGAAAAGGGGGGCAACGGTGAACAGAAATTTGGGCCACGAAGCGGGGAAGGAAGTGATAAATAAGGATGATCCAAGTATAATTAAATAAACGAAGATCTTGTCACAGGATCACAGCCGAAGAGACTTCAGCTCTGGATCCAAACTTGCTAAAATTGAAGAGCATGTGGAATTGCCGATGAGTTGACTGTTGACACGAAATATGCCTGTTCCAGGTTAAACTTCTTATTATTATTCAGGAGTTTACTCTCACTACAGTGTACACCCTGCCTCTCAGCATGGCCATGATACTGGGCTCATCGTCAATAAAGGGAAGAGAAAGTCCTTTCATTGACGCCTTTATCCCAGAACGCCTGCCAAGCCGATGCTACCCTTGAGATATACATAATCGTACAATTGTTAGGCTATATTACCAGCCATTCCCATGAAAATCGCCTGCGCTGCCAATTGGAGCGACCAGAAGCCAACTTTCTTGAAGCGTCGCTTGCGTGCCTGCTCATCGACAACATCACGAGCAAATGCATCATATACCTAGCTGAGTTAGTGACGGAGATAAACAAAAGAATAAATAAGATGACTCACGGCTGCCGAAAGATCATCCATGAGCCCGCTGTCATAAATCGTCCAGCTGCCATCGAAATCCTCCACCCGTTTTACCAGCCGGCAGTTGACAGGGATGAAAGTGCGCCGCGAATTTATGTATGCGACAATGGGTCTTATTAGGGCATTATTGATGTAAGAGAGATCTCGTGTAAATAATGGAACGACTGCCCTGACATTATTAAGGTGCAGTCGCAGATCTGTAACTAGGAAACGTTTGTTGTCACTGCACTTGGTATTGTCGATCTGAGACAATTGGTGGAAGTCTGAGTCTTCCGTGTACCTGTTCGAGGTGACAGTCGCTTCCAACCGATCGTAAAGATCGACCATCACCTTTGCGATACTTTCGTCATTATCCGCGGGGAACATGATATCGGCAACAATGTCCACTGTCCCTTCATGAATCCACCCAAACGGCCCTTGTACACCGCGGTTTAGATGATCGATATTCAACGCATCAATGCGTATCCTGCTGTGCTTCTTCCAAGGGGTCGGTTTGCCATCCTCTTCTGCCCCATTGTCGAGCTGTGCGCCGGTGAAGCTATGGGTTTGACGAGGATGGATTGTAAATAAGGAGTTGTCGAACGAGCCGGACATCATGTTGGCCGATAGGAAGTCGTAGAACAGCCACTGCTTCCTCAGTTGTGGAAGGTCGCAGGAAAATATGCTTACCGAGAACGGCCTGAAGTTATTAGGCTGGTAAACGGTCACCAGTAAGTCGCTCATTTTGAACGAATCAATCTCGAAATCCCCCGGGTTGTGCTCGTGTCGGTAAGATTTGGGATCGCGAGGTTCATCCGGCCAATAGACTGATCTGCGATCAACCACTCCACGTACACCCTTCACCTCAACATCGCGAAGGAGTCCTTTGCCATTGATCCATCTACCGAAAGACAAAGTTACATTGACTGTTTCTATTGAAACGTCAAATTGCGTGTAGTTGGTATCCTCTTCCTGCTCTATCCGTTGCTCCAATGAATCGGCGGCGGACTGGTCACTTAGAGCGGCAGCGGCAGCGGCAGCGGCAGCGGTCTTTGACGAGCCTTTACTGACATGGCCTGTTCCTTGGCCAGGCCGCCGCGATACGAAAACATTCTTGAAAGTGATCACCCCGTCTCTCCATTTAGGAACGATGGCAGATTCGAACACCACCTTTACGCCAGAGGATTTGGTGAGGTAATTACCAATCCAACCAGCTAAAGTTTCTGGATGATCTTAGTTTGAGGAATAAACGGTCAATCGAGAGGCTTACCTTGGGCGAACACTGTATTAATCGCTATGATCAGCAAGGAAAAGAATGTGGTGGTGCCCAGAACGACCCAGACAACATGACCAAGTATGACCCAGGAGAAAAGCGCCGCGATTTCATCGAGATTGAAGGGTCGAACGCTTCTGATAGAAAACCACTTAAACCTGACCTTCAGCCTTGACCAGAAACCGGTTGCAGCGGCCAGCAGTTCTTCTTTTGTGGGACGGTGGAGGTGCGGCATGTGTGGTAAACGATGCATCAGAGGGCGACTTGACGAACCGGGTTCGTGCTTCCCCCCGTGCACACTGGGGTTTCCCTCTGTCTTCTGATGTCTGGAGTTAGTAACATCGTTCTTGCCAGCTTGATTAGCGGCGTCCGTCTCTGCACCTTTCCTCGAAACATCGTCTTTCTTGGTTTGGAATCCCCGTGCTTGTACATTGTAGGACAGGCTCTGTAAAGATCGCCTGCCGAACGGATATTTTCTATGTAAGAATAGATTCTCCGACGTGACCGCACAAGTTGCGCCAGTCCCTGCTAGAGGAAAACTGGGCGAGACGCCGGGGACGAGAAAGTTTTCAGATGCGAACCATTGCGTAAACTGTTTCGTCTTGCGACGTGGTGCTGCTGTAAACCGTTTCGCATACTGTTTGAAGACAGAAGTGTACATGGGGTCGATTTGTGAGGCCATATCGGATACATATGGAGTTGGATTCACACGCAACCTCTGTCTCAGGGACGGACTTGCTGCCATCACCCAGGCGGTGGTGTACACCTTGCGTCCGAAAATACTAGACATTTTGTCCGTCACATGCTGTACAGCCCGCTACAGGGCGGGGTATAAAGATTGGTTGAGCAGATGGGATAAGATGCTCCAAGATGCGACCAGATGAGGTAAAAGTAAGTACTATCAGAACTGCGGTCCGGGTCCTGGCGCAAATTTGAAATGAAATCATCCGGCTCGTTATCAGAGTGTTTGCTTTGTTTGCAACTAAAATTTAATGCCTTCCGCACGAAGGCCTGTATATTCTTTCAGCAAAATTACCCCTGTCCCGCAGGCAAGATCAAAGAAGAGGAGTCAGCCGAGGGAAATAAGAAATTCTCGACAATCGGACAGAATGCCCGCTCCAACAGCACTCCGCGCCTCCGATGCTCCTACGGTCGCACTAACCATTGCCCCTCTTGCACAAGGTTTGTACAGCAATGGTCAAATTGGACGCCATGCTAACAGCGAGATAGAGCACGATGAGGATGTCTTAATTGACGCCCAAATCTCATCAAGTGGTGACGAGGTTGTCGTTCCTGTGGATTCTACGGAGGATACTGAGATGCGAATTGATCTGGAAGGCCGACCTGTCTTCACACCTGCCAAAGAAACTCCCGCCGCTTATCGAGTCGAGACCCGGAAAGTTCCTGTTCCGCCACACAGAATGACACCTCTAAAAGCAAACTGGCCCAAAATCTACCCGCCGTTGGTCGAGCATCTCAAGTTACAGGTACGAATGAACATCAAGAGCCGAGCGGTGGAGCTGCGCACATCCAAGTTCACCACCGATACGGGGGCTTTGCAGAAGGGCGAGGACTTTGTCAAGGCTTTCACACTAGGCTTCGATATTGATGATGCTGTCGCGTTGCTGAGGTTGGATGACCTTTACATCCGGTCCTTTGAGATTCGAGACGTCAAAGCGTCTCTGAACGGGGAGCACCTCAGCCGTGCCATTGGTCGTATTGCTGGTAAAGATGGAAGAACGAGGCATGCAATTGAGAATGCGAGCAGGACAAGGATTGTCATTGCTGATCAGAAAATCCACATCCTGGGCCGTTTCCAGAACATTAATGCAGGCCAGGAAGCTGTTGTCAGTCTTATTTTGGGTGCCCCTCCTGTAAGTGAAGCGCGTCTTGTCTTCTATTACGACTTGCTGACTCCGTCCAGGGAAAGGTGTATGGAAATTTGCGTAAGGTGGCGGCTCGCATGAAGGAACGCTTTTAATACCCTCGACGGACAGTTTGCTATATTCTTATGACACGGCGTTATGGTTTGCCTGATACGGGATTCTTGTGGTATATTTGACGACAATGTTCAGGGAAAAATCTCATGAAGAATTCTGTGCGTACATCATTTTGGACGAAGAGAAAAATCGGTTTCGCCGATTATCAAGATACCAGGTTATTCACATGAGCCAGGCCAGGTTTAATCCTTTTTCAAGGGGTGATAGATCTCCTCTATCCCATTTGCAGTAATGACCAACATCTGTAGGCCATCTCCAACTTCAATGTGCCTCTCCACCGCGCTGGTAAATGCATCTCGTACAAGTTGCTCCACTGTTTCCCTGGACATTGGCTCAGGCTTCCTAGCTGCGAGAGCGTGTCCCTCTCCACTCCCGGGGATGTACTGGTTCTTGAGGTTGACTTGGTTGTCCAGGAATGGCATGATCAAGCTAGATGCCGCTCCGGCCGACCTGCACTGTTCCCTCTCGTAGGAGCCTACCGGGTCATAACCGTACAGCGCACCTTTGCCTTCTTCATCAAGACCAGCCAGGATAGCCTGCACGTAATATGGGAAGAACCGCTTCTGGTAGAGGATAGTTGATAGTCGCTGAGCGCATGCCCTGACACCCATAGGTTTCCCATGTTGGTACTTGTACATCTTCACCACTGCATCCAGCCTTTCCTTGAGGGCTAGGCCATCCGCAGCAAAGCCTACCACTGACAGGAGAATGTGAGCGTCCTTTCCGGTTTCATCCTCCCCGCCAATCTTGAAAACCTTTGGAACGTAGCGAGAGTTGATGTTGTATCCGGATGTCGAACGAGTGTCGCCAGCGAGAACGGCGAAATCCTTGCCCGTGATCCCTAGGACCGAGCCTCCGTTATCGGTATACCTAAAATGATATTAGTTCTGTTATAAATACTATAGACACTATGAGAAGAAGCGAAGACTTGCGGGTAAAACGAGTGCTCTGTGTTGCCAGCATTCGTGGGTTGGGCAAAGGAGTATCCAATGGAATTGGTGTGAGGGTTGTGGGAGAGAAGACTTGTCATCTTAAAAACGTTTCAATAAGAGTATCCGTGAGTATCCGTGGGTATCCGTGAGAAATATCAGCTGAGGTGGAAATATTTGGAATGAGTGAGTTCTTCGTCCAGGTGCAAGAAATGGGGGATAGCAACGTTAAGGAAGGACCAATGGAGCTTGGATGAAGCTCTGACTTGTGACGCGGTTGTTGTACCTGCCTTCTGATTACGTAATAGAGCATACTAAGCAACTAGTGCTTCGTAAACCAACTTTTGTAAAGTTATGATGGGCAAACTACTTTCCCAGAAATAACTGCTACTGACTTCAGTTATTCCAATGACATTCTTCGTGGTTACTTCACAGTAACCACCCTATTATCCGGTTTAGAAAAGCTCAAAGTCACCGCTACACAAATTCCTTGCTTTCGGGCAACCGCTGTGAATGATGCTGGGCCTTGGGAATTATGAGAGCAGTAGTGAGGATGAGACTGAAAAGCGACAGTCTCCTCCTGTGTCGAAGGTATACACCAGCGAGCTTTGTTGAAGACAACAACTAACCACTTGTCAGCAAGAACTGAAAATATCACAAGTCGAAGTCTTGCAAACACAAAAGGATACAGGTGATTGCACTCCCTCGAAACCGAAGCATACTACCCCGACTAAAATATATTCAGACAGTCTACTCGTGGCTCAGCCTACAGTAAGAGGCACTGTCGCGGATCGAGAACTTAGCGGCCCAGTCTTAGGGCCGATGCATGAAGCTAGACCTCAGGATGGGCAATCATCATCGACCCGTACACTTATCCATGACCTGACATTACCACCTGTGCCGATTTTAGAAATACCACCATCTCCGCCTGGCTCTCCAAACCCCACGGCAAATGCAAAGTTGGCGCATTTCCTTTCCTTGAAGAAGCAAGGCATTCATTTCAACGACAAGCTAGCTAGTTCTATTTCTCTCAAGAATCCCAGTTTATTGAGACAGATGATGGAACACGCCGGTATAGATGATCAGGCGCAATACTCGACGTCATTACCACTTAGCATCCACGACTTGCCGAGCCAGGGCTACAAGGAAGAGCTGCTGAAAGCGCAGAGGGAACTCAATGCCAAAGCTGAAGAAAGCAGGGCAAAGGGTCAAAGGGACACAATTGAATTCAGATCGGGTTCGGGACGACCTAGCCCTGCCTCTTATCCCAAAACGAGGTCAAGGTAATAAATGATAATAGCCCATGATATGCTGTCGAGCGCCTAGGTACAGAATAATAAAAGACCTGTTCCCGGCAAGCAGGATTCTAGAGACTAAATCGGATCTCCCAAGACCAAGTTGTCATGGAGCCGAGATGTAGTTGTTGTTCGGCTCGTTCAAGAGCAACCTTTGTTTAGGTACCATTGTTTCCGTTTCCGTCCACACTTATCGGTGAAAATATAAAGACTCTGACTCTCTGAACACCACAAGAATACTCGTAATCCTATGGCAAACGAATGGTAGAAACTGCTTGATCTCAAGATGGATGATATTAAGAACTAGAAACGAGGAAACAACTAACTACCGATCGGTGGCGGTAAGCCACGTGATGTCGATATGACATCGATCCTTCCTTCATCGGGAATGCGTTATCAGGAGCTGGAGTGGACTGTGGGTACATAGTGGTGGGCTGGGTTCACCGCCCTGATACCTCGTAATTGAGCTCCGTCAGCTCCACGACTGCCTAGCTACCCTACCAGGATACCACAGCCTTCTATGATCCATAACACGATAAACCATCACCCAACATCCAGCATCTGAGAATAATCCTTTCGCTTGCCGAACTTCTATCATGAATCATTTTCCTGGAACATGGGGTCGGGTAAGAGTTGCATTACGAGGCTGTTGAACGATGTCTAATATTGTGTTAGCCTAGGGATGATGTCTACGGACCATATGATTCATCGTATCTTCAAACTACCGGACCTAAAACACACACTCAATCGCCAGCTGTCACTGGAACGTCGGTGATTGCCGTCAAGTTTAAAGGAGGCGTTGCAATTGCTGCTGACAACTTGGGTACAACCTCATCCATCATCTGTCGCAATCATTTCTGACACTTGGTCTACGCAGCATCATACGGATCACTTGCCCGCTTCACCGACGTCAAACGTCTTCGTAAGTTTGGCGATGCCGCTGTGATTGGGTTCAGCGGCGATGTGTCAGACATGCAGTACATCGACCGCCTTCTAGAGTCTATCGACATCCGTGAAAACTACTCAGCACATGGAAATCAGCTCAACGCCAAAAATCTCCACACTTATTTGTCCAAAGTTCTCTACAAGCGGCGCTCTGATTTCAATCCCTTGTGGAATCACATTCTTGTCGCAGGATTTGATTCGGAAAAGAAGCCTTTCCTTAGCTCTGCCGACTTACTCGGAACTACATTCTCAGCACCGCACCTTGCGACCGGCTTCGGGGCTCATCTAGCGATTCCGATTCTGCGCCGATTGTTCCCAGAGGAGCGTTCCATTGAAGAGATTAGCAAGGAGGAAGCTGTGTCGGCGCTTAAAGACTGCCTCAAAGTCCTCTGGTACCGTGACGCGCGAAGTATGGACAAGTACTCGCTGGCCTTGATTACACAGGACGGAATCGAGGTGCACGAAGATCAACAGATTGAAGCCCAAAACTGGGCGTTTGCCGAGAGTATCAAGGGATATGGTGCCCAGACTGTCTAGTTGGCGGTTACGGAGCTTACGAACGTCGCAATAGAACGAGTTACATCTCGCCGAAGGCCGTTCTACCAAAGTTTTTACATAACGCAAGAATAAACATGTTCAAACCAAAAAAAAGGGCGCCGCATCCATGCCAATACATCCCATTCTATAGTTTCGCAGAAGGTTTGTCGAAAACTACTTTATTCAAGCATGAACCCACTCCCTCGAGAGAAACCTCAACGTGGTCGTTGTGCTTTAGCCAAAGTACCGGCTTCCTGCCCATACCCACTCCCTGGGGGCTGAGCACGTATGTCAGTTCTGAGCGCGACGGACTGAAGGACAAACTTACGTTCCAGTAAAGATCAGATCACCCGGTAGTAATGTAGTGCCTTGAGACAGGAACGAAACAGTTTTCGCAACGTTGAAGATCATATCTTTGGTCGATGAAGACTGGACCTCACGGCCGTTTAATTTCGTAGATATCTTCAGAGAATTGGGATCACGGATCAGCTCCGATGACACGATGCCCGGTCCGAAGGGCGCCCAGCCATCAAAGCCCTTCCCAAGTCCCCACTGCCCACCCCCACGCTTCAACTGCCAGTCACGATGAGAAACATCGTTGCCAACAGCATAACCAAGGACATAATCCAAGGCTTTGCTCTCGGGGACCTCCTTCGCCTCCTTGCCAATTACAATGACTAGCTCACATTCATAGTCGAGCCCTTCTCCTTCCTGGGCTAGGGAAGAGACAGGAATGTCGTCGGTTGGACCTCCAATGGAAGTAACAGGCTTGTAGAACAGGACGGGGTATTTGGGGATGGGCAGGTTTGATTCCTTGGCGTGTTGCTCGTAATTCAGGCCGAGACAACGCACGGTCTTAATGTCTTTTCGTGATAGAGGAGACAAAAGCAGCTTTACCTCGGCAACTTGATCAGTGATACGGTGCTGCCCGAAAATATCGCCACTAATGACTCTGGCCGTGGTGGTTTTGGCAATGTCGCTCACGCCGGCGGGGAGAACGGCATCCCCATAGTAGATGTGTCCATCCTTGGCCAGGAAGCGAATGAGGCGCTGCACGATTTTGTCGTCAGCATCGCTCTATACAGCGTTCCAGTTATTATGAGAGTGCACTCTAGCCTCAATGACGTACCGAGAAAGCAGGCATGTTCAAAAGAGCATTTAATAAAACACCATGTACGTAGTATGGGCGTACAGCTCAGATGTTTAGAGGTTCAACAATAACAGAAAGCGAAGTTGAGAAACGTTGGCAGATGCAGGCACAGTAGTTAGTAGGCTTATATGCTAAAGCCTAAGCTCTCGACCCCAGGCCCGTGGACAGTGACACTCGGCCGGGAAATCTGATATGGTAAGCAAACCCCAGATTCCGGGTAGGGACGGAGATCGGGTTCAGAACTTAAATTTTCCACCTAAGAACATTAGTGCTTTGCAGTCACACTTTGTACATTAGAATGGCGCGCCTCTCTGGCTTCCAGAGAGAAGTGCTATCCCTCTATCGCAAGTGCCTTCGAGAAATACGAAGGAAGCCTACCGTAAGTAGTTGCCAGGTGCTTTTTCGGGTCCGGGAAATCATATTGTTGAATAACGCTGATTTTGCTATCTTTTCGTGGTCTAGGAGACCAGACATAACTTCAAATCTTATGCCCGGTATGCAGGTTGTCAGTTCGTTCGGTTCACCACAGCTCACGATTCAGTAGCTCTGAATTCGAGAAACACGTATCTATCAGCAAGAAGGACTTCGGCGCAATCGAATATCTTCTGCGCAAAGGCTCAAGGCAACTAGAGATGTACTCGTCTCCGGGAATTCGAAATATTCGCTAAATGCTGTGCCGAGCTTCTAGCGATGGCGATGAGTATAGGGAACTTGGTCGCCGCAAGTGTCGCCCTTTCACGAGCTTTGCTATTCTTCCTTTTCTAGCTACCTTAGATGAGCTTGATGTGAGAGCGGATGATTGCTTTTCATTGGCGGCTAGCAGTTGTGCCCAGGTGGCCCATGATTACTTCAGAGTACAACGGTCCCTGGAAGTTTAACCGGCTCCACCAATGTACAAAGTAAGGCCTTGACCTTTTTTGTGCATGAAGCGCACCTCAGCCAGAGCAAGGTCAGTTACCATGCCTGTGTATTTCCATCCAGTGAGAAACTGGATCCTCTGTATAGGGACCGATCAATGCGATCTATTCTTTCTGTATGATAAAGAGGGAGTACTTGAACAAAATGTATAACAAGACTACAGTATATTCGCGGATTATTGCTATCGAAAACTCCCGAGTTGTCTCCGAATCCGATCGAAATCAATACCTACCGCCTAGTGCTAGCATAGACCCCGCCTGACCTACTGGTATTTTGTGCTGGACGCTGGTACTGGTAGAGTCTGGTACTACTACTGGTGAGGTTTGCCAAGAGATATTGGGTCAGGTGACGCTTGTTTGCCTTCTGTCAGGCGTGGCGCGGTGACGTCAACTCTCGGTACATCGCCTAGTCAATCCGTGACATTTCTAGGGCAACTTTCTAAGGTAACTTCCTGAAGTTATCTATAGCCCTAAGATAACTACCTAAATCTTAAAACTATTTAAGACAACTGGTATATATACGTTTAGGCATATTTTTCCTCATATGAAAGAGGTGGGCTGGTACGGAGTCCGGGAGTATACATACATGGGATTATTTAAACTGACAGTATACTCCGTACATCGATACACTCGGAAACAAAATTCTCGAATCTTGGCGGCACCAAACTTCTTTTCTCCTAGCGCAGGGTAGATATAACTTACGTCGCAAAACACCCTATTCGTACTACCCTATTCGTACTTAGAGTATCTGAGCAGTGTAATTTCAACACACGATACGACAGCGCTAGCAATTTAGGTTTGTCGAAGTAAAATATCAGTACTAGGTAGGTCATGGACGCGCAATTAGGAGAAATCAATACCATTGAATACACTGCTGTCACGTGACTTGTTAGTACCGGTCCGTCGAGGCTTCGCGGAGATTCTGGAACCGCTATCTTAGCTCCCGAAGCATCTAGACACAATGGATGTTGATTGCTGGAATATCCTGGCAAGTTTCCTGTAAGCAGTCATGAACGTACTACCTATTTCTAGAAATCAGCGCATCTTGTATATAATAAATGATGAAGCTCAGATTCAGTTGTTTCCTCGATAAATTCACTTCATTCCTGACCAGCTTTGTTCACCCTCAGCCAAACGCTTCGCCACTCGAAAGTCTTCGCGATCAAGCATCCAAAAATTTCTCTGAATCTTATCTACTAAACCATCGATCCAATGGCTTTTCCCCCCCGCTACTGCTCAGGCGACTTCGCCCCATTGTTTCGGTTCCTCGACGATTACGATATGCACCAGTCCACACGTCGAACAAGCCACAAGAAGGTCACCAACGTCAAAACCTTTGCTCCTAGATTTGATGTATACGAGCAAGGCGATCGGTACTACCTTGATGGAGAACTCCCTGGAGTCGAACAGAGCAACATTGAAATCGAATTCACCGACCCTCAAACCCTAGTCATTAAGGGCCGCTCCGAGCGGAAATACCACAAGGAACAACGATCAGAGCCTGATAACTATGATGGATCCGAGACGTCTTCTGTCAAGTCTCTCCAGCCCACGGTGGAAGATTGGGATGAGATGAGCGATGCCGCCCCCGCCGCCGAACGAACCTCAGCGTCAACCTACAAGGGTAAAGCAGTAGAGAAGACCTCCAACCCTAAGAGACACGAACCGGCCTGCAAGTTCTGGGCCTCTGAACGCTCAATTGGAGAGTTCCACCGAACCTTTGCATTCCCTACCAGAGTGGACCAGGACTCAGTCAAGGCCAGCCTGAACAACGGTATCCTGTCGGTGGTGCTTCCGAAAGAACCGGCTCCCCTACTCAAGAAGGTCCGCATCGAATAGAACTCGATATACCTATTAACACAACAACTCTAATGACATTATGATTGCATTGCAATACATGGAAGATTCAACTTGAATTGATGACATACGCGCTGGTTGCTTCTGTTATGATTGTGGACGTGTGCTCAGTTTCATCATGGCGAATCTGGGATTGCATGGGCTAGCGTTGTTTCTATCTGTGCTTCTAACCCAACAGCATGTGTGATAGCGGTATTTATCTTGGACTTGGAAATCGTAATCTGACCTTATCATTATGGATTTTTTGGTCTTCTCTTACGCAGCAGACCTCAGTAGAATAGAAATTAATGCCAGTTTATGCCAACTTATGTAACACGCACATGGTTTAGGGACGGACATGTAGATATTGCTTTATAGTGTACAAAGATATGTAATTAGCGACCACTAGTCGAAACACTACTGTTCAACATGCAGCCTGTCATGCATGCAGGGATCTAGCCCCAGTAATGAATGATGTCTCGCGCCAGGTACCGCAGGAATCCGTTGACTCCTCACTAACTCGAACCGACTGACGACCAATAGTATGGGGTGTCATAGACATAAATAAAATCCCCTGCGTCTACTTCGTAGCTATATCTACTTCTGAATGATGGCACCTACAGCAATTTAATCGTTAGATCTCACTTGTCCCTGTCAAGATCGGAATGTACTCTAAGGTACTTGGGTTTGCTGCCATTTGGCCAATCTCATGGAATTTAGCAAACACACGCGGTTCACAATTAAACAACAAAACTTGGTCTTCAACGACGACGTTTAGATGTGGGTTTAGTAGTCGACGTTGATTGCAGAGAGCTGGTAAGGAAAGACCACCAGGGCCGAGTAACGAGTGGACGGGTACCATATAGCCTGGTCTCCTTAGGGGGTATACCGGAACTCAAAGAACATGTACAAAGGACAGACAACACCGCATAAAGGCCTCACAAAGAAAGCAATACAGAACAATGAATATACAACACGCAGATTCATGCATAAATACCTGTCAGGTTACGAGGTTGCTGCCCAGAAGGCCTGTGGTACCGGTACCCAATAGTCCGACTGCGAGCCCTACCGCGTGGTGGTTCAGCTGCAAAGTCATGCCCGGAAACAAAGGGCAAGTTATTGGATTTTACAGCGCCGCTGTGACGTCGGCACTGCTGGTTAGTAGTGCTTGCCTGGCTGTCATTTGAAATTGAGTGACATGCGTTGGTGCAGCGATGCTGGTTGCACAAAGCGGGATGGCTAGGAAATGGAGCTTTGGCAGCAACTGCCCTCTGGAAGGTCTCACTGCGAAAACCAGAGCCTTTTGTTGCAAATGTAGTAGGGCAAAGATATAATGAACTGTCTAACTCATAGTTCAAACAAAGGTCTCCCTTATTATGCCCATTATTGTTTGGCGTCATTATAGTAGGAGAGAGCGGCTCTATTGCTGCGGATTCGAGGTTGCGCAATTGAGTGCAATACCATGGGAGAGAGATAGGGTGATCTGACGACCAAGGGTTTGGGAGTGATGACCGCCTCAACCGATGGACCGGGGGCATGCTCGTTGATTGCTCCCGTAGATTCGTTCCAGATTTCAATTTATGGTCCGGAAGACTGATATGGCGGCACGTGGATGGTTCAGTGGCAATTATAGTCAGATTATTGGTGTTGAGTAACTCGAGGCTCTGAACATTGTCCCCGAGCAGTTTCCGAAGACCTGGGGAACGCCGTAAAGATGCATGTGACTCACTGGAATTCCGATGCGAGGCCGCGGAGCTGTAGCCGCTGTCTCCTCGTATATGAGAGCTTGCGCAGCTGCTATAGCTGAGGTGTCTTTCTGGGAGTTTAATTGACGACGGAATGGGTACTCGGTCTCTGTCATAAACGGATATACCCTCATCGTCGGCCTCACGTAAGTCCATCCCGCGGCATGATGTCGTTGTGGGCGACTTTTCAAAGGAGAAAGGACTAGCGGGAACGTCGATATCATCCCCAGCTGATGTGGCACACGAAATGTCCAAAATAGTCACCGGCATACCATTAATTGCGGAGGAAACCGAATGGACCAGAGCGTTTGGGCATGTTTCATTTTGTGGATTCCCGACATGGTCGGGATTTGTAGCGTCGAGGATTGATTGATATTTGGCGTACGCCTCTGAAGACGGGGCGGTCCCAATACTGAAAGAATCCTTGAAGTTTAGGATGTCAGGGATGACCTCCAAAGCTGGGCTTCCTGATTGGTCAAGACGCGTCCGGTCACTGGGACAAGGGGATGCGGATCCGTTGACAACACGTAAAGATCCTAGTTTGAGGGAACCTAGGTGGGTGTACCCAAAATCACTGGGCGTAGTTGGGCGACACTGTGGCAACAGCTTCACGTCCCTAGGCAGGACATCCTCATGCGCTAAACAAGTATGCTCAGATAGCGACTCGGGTGAACCACTTGGCTCGTGATAATATCCGGAAAAAGTTGTCGTTGCCACTTTCCTTGTGGCTACTCCGGGACGTGTGAGCAGGGAACGTCGGCGTATCGGAAGATTCTCATGATGTTTTATCCTTGTATGGGAGTTGAAAGAACCCAATCTATCAAGTGTACGTTGTTGGACTCCATTTCTAGATTTTTGGGACGAGGAATGGACTGAATAAGACCTTTTCGGTTGTCCAATCAATGAAGAGGACTGGGGATTGCTCTGAAGTGTGGTAGGCTGGAACGTCGCGACTTCAGATGGGCGAAAAGAAGCTCTCTCGTAAAACGATCCACGCCTGCTTGGCGTGTGGCTGGGAGAAGTAGGCGGCGGTGGCCATATCTCACCTGTGTTGTGAATGCTTCGCCGAGCGACAGATGATCTTAACGTCGCTTCGCGACTCAATGGCTTAGCGGAAAATGACTGTGACCGCGGGTTGTGCAGCACAAAATCATCAGAGTCGACAGGAACAGAAACACCCGTCCAGGGGGTTTGCCTTGCAGTTGGGGTAGATGGGAGCGATAGCGCTCGCTCGGCAGGCTGAGGCAATGAGCGCGAGCTAGGACAGCCTGGAACTGATTGATTCTGTGGTGGTTTTGAAAGTCGATTCGATCGTCGGCGTTTGTCTCTATTTGGGAGCGATAGAGAGCTGCCCATGACTCGCAGAGTAAAACCTAGTGTCGCCTGTATCAGCTTCTCCTTCTCCTGGATGCAGCTCAACAACAGGCATGAGCGCAACAAGAGAATCAATAATCACGACAAAGGTTTAGAGTGAGTTCCGGGCTGCAAGGTAGCCCGATGATAACCCAGATTGAAGTCGGTCAGGCCATACGGGCAGGGCAATATGTATGCCAATCGAACATGACATATTAAAAAGGACGAAAAACTTTTTCATGTCACCGGAGTATTCAGAGTCCGCATGTTGTTTCCCTCGTCTTTCTGATCTTCAACTCCGTCTTTTTGCGACAGAAGGAATTGGGTAGGTATAGATGCCGATGTTGTGATGCATTAGGACTGAAGATCTTACCTGATAGGGCGCTGCAAAAGCAAACACAACGACTAGATTCAAGGATCTAGCAAAAGATAGACAATTAGGTATATGGGCAACGTTTCACTGATAACCGAGACCGGCGACAGTATATACATAGACAGAGCCCGGAAGATCTGTTACTGTATACAAGAAATGGCCGAATCAGAAACGGCAAAAATGAGGATATATGAATATGGTGGGTGGGGAAGCCCTTGGTAAGTAAGACTAACCAACTCGAGGGCATATAAGGGATTCAAGGGACATAAAAGAGCAGGGTAACTGGACTCCATGCCATGATTGAGTATGCAAGTAACACACAACAATGACGAATGCGTTTGTCAACGGCAACAGCGAAACGGAATCAGCGCCAGGAGATGACGAGACCGGCAGCGCGAGAGGCCGGGGAACAGTTGACCGCGCGCAGGTGAGATGCGCGAATGGCAAAACAACAACCTTGCAGCCGGCTCTGGAGTCTGTACCCAGTGTCAGAGAGAGATTAAGCTGTCATTATTCCGGTCACGGACAGCCCACCAGTACCCCACCTAAGACTTCAAGAGCACATTGAAGCATCCTGAAATCACGTAGCTACTACTAGCCACGGTAGGGCAGTGCTCTACTCCGTAGTGAGCTTAGGGATAACCGTTACCCATCAATAATTGGATCTGCGCTAACTCAAACGGCCTCTTCTTGTTCCTATGATGGGCAGGCCCGCGGAGGACCGTTGATTCCGAAATGCTTCCATTTTATTACCGTAGGTTTGGTTGGGATCAGCTCAGAAAGCAAGATAGAAACAAGGACAAATCTTCAGTTGCGAGGCCAGGATCCATCCTGGTGCCCTGATACATGAGAAGTTGTTAAATCGGAAACGCTCCCGAGGACTGGACAGTGGAGACAGGTGCCTCGGGCCTCAGGCTTGCAAGATGCAGCTTGTACAGAGTAGCTGGTTGCAGTGAGTTTGGCAGCTTCATACGGAGTATCCCTCCGCTTTTGAAGTTTCAATCTCAACCAACCGCTCTCATCGAGCTGAATAATATCCACCCTCCTCCCTGAACAACGACGATGGGGGAAACAAAAAGAAACAACCGCTGAGAGAAACAACTCCGGACCTTCCGTGATGTGGCATTGGATCTTCGATCTCTGGTTGTGACCTTGCCGTTTGCAGTTAGACGGGAGAAGTCCCGAGGTCCGCATTCGGTTGGCAGCTGGACGTGGCGGATCAGCTGCTGCGTCTTCCTACATACATCCAGATCCTGCAAACAATACGCAAGTCTTGGAGGCACGACCAGGCTTTGGTGGCCAAGAACACGGTGTATTGATCGCCGAGAGTTGAGCAGGAGTCGGTCTACTCCGGTGAAGCATCCTGCAGCCCAAACTTTTTGCTCTGCGGCTTATCGCAGACTTACTCGTTCAAATGACCGCCGCAAGCTCGGGGCAAAGCGCGTTGTCGATTTTTCCCTTTCTCACAAATGACGAATTCGAGAGCGGCTGCCGCGCGTTTTTGGAACAAGTTCAAGTGACCGCTGGGTCAACAATGCCATGGTCATCGATTCGGTTCCAGGTAGCAACCCTATCCCCCAGTCACCCACCGCCGCATTAGTCGATTTTCCCAACTAACCAGCCAGACAACTGGCCAAATCCTGAGAATCTGCCAAATACTCAACTCTGATCGCAGGGCCATTCCGGATGACCGTCTCGCACGGCCATTGGACGGGGGCTCACAGCTAGAAAATATGGAGGAGGATCCTGTTCGTGAAGAGACTCTTAGCTAATCATCAGCTTTTCTGACAGATGTCAACAGGAAGCCCTTATTCGTATGACCAATACGCATGAGCTACAGGTAGAGTATGATATTCTTCTCTCGGCTACCTATCAAGTTCCCGTCCTGTATTTCGTCATACGGCGCGCGGAGAGACTTTTGGGCATAGATGAAGTCTACAGTTATCTGGTTCCAGACCAGTATAGGAAGAATATTCAAAGCGTGGGTATCATGGGTGGTATTAGTTTCGGCGTATGTGCCAGTAACCTTGACACTAGAACGCGTGGCTCATGTATGGTAGTATCATCCGGTGTTCGGAACACCAGCGTTTTTTGTCCATCCATGCAACACAGCGAGTGCCATGAGGGACATCTCGAGCGGACATGGAATCGACCCCGAGACATATCTCATAATCTGGCTCGGCTTGGTGGGTAATTGTGTTCGGCTCCAGCTACCAGGTGAGCTCTTCGAGACGTGGTCCTTTAATTGAAGAGATGTGAGAAGTTTGACATGCTTTTCCCACTCAAATCCATCTTAATCCTCATCTGAAGAGGCCTCCATTGGCACATCACTATCCTCATCCATGGGCGCTTCGCCTTCATCGCTTTCTTCCTCGCGAGGCCGCTTGACTCCTTGGGCCGTTCCATTGGGCTCACCCGAAGGCTTTGAAGGCAAAGCGGCTGCCCCAGGAGGTCCACTGAAAATCGACTTTTGAAGATCCGTTGAGACAGTCGTATTTTGACCGGGGGCTGCTACCGGGGCAATATAGGTTCCGCGAAGTCTAGCGATAACATCTGAGGTGCTACTGGCGTAAACAATTTTCTTCCCATACGTCAGTCATTACTGAATCAATCACTATATCGAACTTACCATTGGCTTGCCAAAGAATTGGAACCCCTGGAGTGCACGCATCGCTTGCGTACTTGCTTGAATATCCTTGAAGACAATATGCGCTTGGCCCCGCATCTTCTCGGTCTTCATGGCCACAATGTCGAGAACAGTGCCGTACGTGGAAAAGAGAGTGTAAAGCGATAGTCGGAGATCATGTTTTCGAAGCTTGTCTGGAAGATTGGTACAATACAACCTGTGAAGGAGTAAGCGATATTTGTTAGAACACTAAGGGAAGCGACTCACGTTTGGTTTGGAAGACCAGCAGGTGGCTTTGCTGGTGGGCGAACAGGCATTGTTTTCGTAGCCATTGCGACGTACGTAATAGGGACGCTGTAGGGGGGCCGGATGCTGAACCGCAGCTTTTCCCCTCAAAATTCCGAATATAAATCCTGTCGCCCAAGCGGCGCTGGAAGCCTGGAACTCGAGATACGCAGTCACATGATCAGTATTATCTAATCGCCACCGCGGCCCGCAACGCATCATGGGGGTCACCAATGCCCCGGCTTTCCAAGTGTCAACAGCAGCTCGACGACAGTAGAGAGCTCCTCCTGTCGTTACAACAACAATGGCTACCGCAGAAACCCACCATCTCTTTCACGCCCCCATTGCCGATCATTCGTTCTCCTCCGACAAGTCGATCCTCGCTGTCGCCCGCGAGAACAATGTGGAGCTTTACCAGAAGACAGGCAGCAAGTTCTCCTTGACCGATGAGCTGAAGGGCCACGAGAAGACCGTTACCAGTGTGGACGTCGCACCCAACTCGGGTCGCATTGTTACTTGCTCGCAGGGTATGGCTTAATATTCGTCTTTAGTAACGCAGCTAATTCAATTTGGATCTAGACCGCAACGCCTACGTTTGGGAGCAGACCCCCGCTGGTTGGAAGCCGACGCTGGTACTACTTCGGATCAATAGGGCTGCAACCTTCGTGCGCTGGTCGCCCTCCGAACAAAAATTCGCCGTCGGATCCGGTGCCCGCGTGATCGCTGTATGTTACTTCGAAGAGGAGAACGACTGGTGGATTTCCAAGCACCTAAAGAAGCCAATTCGGAGCACCATCACCACCCTGGCTTGGCATCCAAATTCTGTTCTTCTCGCCGCAGGCTCGACTGACTCTCACGCGAGGGTCTTTTCTAGCTTCATTAAGGGCGTTGATACTCGCCCGGAGCCCAGCGCCTGGGGTGAGCGACTTCCGTTCAACACCATCTGTGGCGAGTTTCTAAACGACTCCGCGGGATGGATTCAGGGCGCTTGCTTTTCTCCCAGTGGGAATGCGCTTGCATTTACTGGGCATGACAGTAGTGTCACCGTCGTTTACCCTAGTGCCCCTGAGCAGCCCCCCAGGGCAATGTTAAACATCTCGACACGTCTCCTCCCATTCAACAGCCTGATCTGGAATGGGGAGAACGAGATTATTGCTGCTGGTCATGTAAGTTCTGCTTTATCAATAATCATCAATTTTCTAATGTGACGTAGGATTGCGAACCATATCGCCTGCGTGGCGACGAAAATGGATGGCAGTTGGAGGGCAGCATTGAGAGCAAGACGGGCGGAGGCACAGGGAGCGTCCGTGAAGAGTCTGCCCTTAACATGTTCCGTCAAATGGACTTGAAGGGCCAAACGCAGGCCGACACTCAGCTCAAGACTGTCCATCAGAATACCATTAACACTATTAGGGCTTATGAGGGCACCGATGGTGCGGTGCATAAACTAAGCAGTAAGTCAACCTTTTGGGGCATAGATCCGTGTCGTGTATTAACTCTGTTCAGCAAGCGGAGTGGATGGCCGCGTAGTCATCTGGACCATCTGAGTTGGACTTGCGCCACCGAAAACGGGTTTCATTTGATAGGAACAGCCATAGAAAATCCAAAGATCGTTCATGCCTCATCAGCTTGAACCTGAGCTCGAAACCTGAGCTCGAAACCTTACTCCGTAGTGTCGGTCAAAAAATCGCCCTCAGTCCAGAGTAGTAGAGTCAGGTGCGATTGGCGGGTGATTATTAGAGCTGGAGGTTGTACCCGACAGCCAATTCGGGATAAGTGCTTTCTTTTAGCGTTACTCGTCACTATCGATGCCCCACTCTTGCCCAGTGGGGCATCGATAGTGACCGTTACCCCAGAATTATCGACGTCACGTTCCTTGGTAGAGATCCGCCGAAGACCACTTCATATAACAACCCAGACTGCGCCTCAAACGATCATGCACAGGTCTAGGGTGCTACACAATTATGAGTGTGTTTCTTGATAGTTTCTTCCTTGCTTTCAATGTTGTCCTCGCACAACTATGCACCGTCTCAGTTGCTCATGTGGCACCTGAGAATGATCGGCCGGAGAAGCAGATCTCGTCGGACCTCTTCGACTCTCTTGAGGAGCTTTCCCGCATCGTTGATATAGCCTACTGCATTGGGACCACTGGTGTTCAGAAACCGTTTCAATGCCTTAGTCACTGTCAAGAATTCAAAGGATTCGAACTGGTCAACGTGCGCCTCGCCACAGAGAATGCTGGTATAAAAACTCACAATACTTAGGCATGGCATACGGGCTTTTTTCTCTCTGACTCCTGCGGCTACGTCGCCATCTCCCACCCACCTTCACCGAAGCGAATTGTCGTGGCCTTTCGTGGAACATACTCGATCCCAAATGCCATCGTTGACCTTTCTCTGTACCCTCAGGAGTACGTGCCGTTCACCGTCGGCAACGATACCGATGATGATACGCCAGACTGCATAGATTGTTGGGTACACCTTGGTTTCATGAATGCATGGCAATCTACGCGCACAATAATTATGGACACCATCTCCGCATTAATAGACGAGTATCCGGATTACACTTTGACGTTGGTGGGCCACTCGCTCGGCGGCGCTGTCGCGGCACTTGCGGGAACAGAGATGCAGCTTCGCGGATGGAATCCTGTCGTGACGACGTTTGGAGAACCTAGGGTGGGAAACCAGGCCTTTGTGGACTTTCTGGACACAGTCTTCCAACTTGATTCTGGCAACGAGAAGTGGTGGAAATTTCGCAAGGTGACGCATGTAAATGATCCTGTTCCTCTTATTCCGCTCACTGAATGGGGCTATGAGATGCACGGTGGGGAGATTTACATTTCCCGTGTCGAGCTTCCGTTTTCCGTTGAAGATGTCAAGTACTGCCAGGGTGGCACCGATAAAGACTGCATTTCCGGCGCCGAGGGACGATACACCACTCTCGCTCGACATGGTTCACACGGGGGTAGTTTTTCCCATTCTAATGAGGACCAGCAAGTCCTCTCACGTCCATCTGTCTCGGAAGAGGGCCAGGATTACGAGAAAGGAGCGTCTTCAAATCCGGTTTTCCAGATCGCATCTCATCTCCCGTGGAATATAATTCCACCCAGGTTCCGATTATGGGAGTTACTTTACTCCCACCGCGATTATTTTATCAGTTTGGGGCTTTGTGTCCCTGATAGCGACCCGTCAGGGATGTGATGGTTTTGCCCATGTTGCTTCTACTCTGGATGCTAATGAGTGATGATATCCTCGTTTTCTTACTGCTAGCTTATTTTGCTAATATTGACATCACTTACCGACCAGAACCCGTATCCAATACATAATGACACGGGATACTTCCCTCTGGAGCTGGTGTAGGCACTAGTTAAGGCTTGAGGACTCTGGTGCTTGGATCTCATGTCATTGTCTCATTCAGTTGATTGCTGATTATCTAGCTCATTTACATCTCACAGCATATTAAGGAGAATTGAACACGTTAAGGGGAATTCAAACGTTAACAGCTGGCCTTCACATAAATCAGCGCATGGATGTGCAACGTCAACGCAGCATGAAATATCAACCAGTGACATGCATGACAAGTATAGAACAAAATATGCCAACGCAGGATAAAATTAGAAAGGAAGAAGTAATAGGAATAAATGATATGGAGTAACATAAATGCGAATACCCAACACGGTAAGTCAATAGCCATCACTTCTCATGCTCTAAACTTGGCACAATGACCGGCCCATACTTGACGACCTGTCCGAACGACCCATCCCCCTGCACCATAAAATCAACTGCGAGATTCAGCTTCCCACTGCCCCCAGGGAACGGCAGGCCACCACCCTGCTGCCCATACATCGCAAGCGACATTTGACTCCCGCCAATGGAATCCGGATCATAGGCGACAATGGCAATGTAATTCCGCCTGCCCATGAGCTTCTTATGCTCGCGGGCTTGGCCAGTCACATCACTCTGGAAGATCTCCATCATGTCCTCTTTCGTGTCTGAGGGCTGAGACGGGGTGGAGCGGTGGCCGTTTGCTGGGACATAGAGTGGCTTGTTGCTTGAGTGAAGCATTTTGATGATGTACGAGGGTGGCGGGCTGTTGACGACAGAGGAGGAGATGAGCTGGTACATTGTTTTGTGGTCTGAGGGGTGGCCAGGATCGTGGACAAGGCCGGCGCCGCAAACGTTGACAGCACCAGAGAGGAAGGTCATTCGGAGGGATTTTTGGTGTGCGATGCCCTGGAGGGTGCGGATGAGGTAGGTTCTTTCGAGGTCCTTTTTTTCTCTGTTAGTTTTGCTGCTATCTGTGGAGGTGACCAGGGTTACCTTTGACTCGTGAGTCCATTGATCTCGAAGCTCGTCGAGCAAGTCAAATTCGCCGAATGGGCTCAGGATTCCACCCATGAGACCACTTTTACCGACGGCGCGCTTGACGGAGTCAAACCCGGACCCGACGACGTCCTTGGCCCCTACTACGCCCGCAACAGAACTGGTCACCTTGCCGAGAACGTTGTACGCGCCGGTAACCGCTCGCTTGCCAGTGGTAAATGTCTGGGCGATGTGCTCAGCAGTCTCTAGCCGTGGGTAGATGAGGGGCACTGAAGTCATCCATAGACAGTGCTGGACTGTGAGAGGAAGCATGGCGATCTTGGGGAATATGCCTTGATATGTTGGCCCAGCGAGCACCTGGTGCTGGTTACGCTCTGAGCGGCAATCTAGACCAACCAAAACCACTGCTGGTCCGAGGTATTTGACAAAATGCCAGCCCGTACCAGTAATGGTAAACAGATCATAATCTGTGCTGACGTTGCGGAGGATGTCGAGTGTGGTATGGTGCTGAAAGAGCAGGTACATTTCAATTCCAACGCGACCAATGTTCTTGAACATGTTGGAAAACTGCATATGCTCAGGATACGAGCCAAAGCCATCGAAGCTAATCTGTCAGTGTCCTCCAGTCAGAGTGCGGGTGAGACTTACATATCGTGATCATCAATTTGACAGACATATGGAATCTGAGCAAAGGACTCTCGCAAGTATGGCTGATCAAAGTGACTGGTGTAATAGTGAAAATAACCGTGGGACACGTCTTGCTCATGAGCGGCCGTCCAGGGCGCTGTCTTCCTCGCCTCTTTCCCTCGGATCAGGAGCCACTGCTTCAGGGATGGGATCTCCTTCCACATTCGGTCGGCGTAAATCTGACCTCCTAGACACAGCTGAGCGTGGAACCCACCAATCTCAGCATGTTTCTGCATGATATCCTTCCACATGAGACCAACACCCCCTAGCCGGGAGCGCTCGTTCTCATTGACGTTGAGAGAAAAGTCGTTGCCCGAAGTTGCAATGAACCGCCAGCTCGCCTCGTGTTGACCGGCAACCAAGAACTCGTAGCGTGTGCAGCCAAGGTGCGATGTAATAGCGTACGTCCATTTCGCAGCTCCAGACTCGTCCATCTTCAGGTCAACCTCATATTTGTAAAAGGTCCATCGTTGGTGTACAGATATGGCCATCGCCTTTAGCTGGCGTGGATTAGGCGACAGGTCGACACTCTGATGGATATGAATCGTTGGCGGCTGGCCGGCGTCCGTGACAAGAAGAATAGATCCAAACCATATACCGCTCTGGACATCCATGTTCGCATAACGGAGGTAAGGACCAAAGTATACGCCGTTGGTAGGCGCTACCTTGTACATCTCTACGCCACTACTTGGTGGAGGTCCACTAAAGCCTGCTACAGCTGGGGACTGTAGACTTTCAAACCCAGGTGTCATTGGAACACCCGGGGATGCAAGAGGCTTGCCAAACGCTGAGAATCCTGGCGAGGCCAAAGGATGGGCACTGTACACACTTCCGACGGGAGACATTGGTGCCTCATTAAGGTTCAGAGGCGTAGGTCCCTTGGGGAACTCCCATTGGGTGGACTGTGTAGGAAGGTGAATGTAGTAGTACTGACCAGAGTTTGGGTCCAGATGCGCAATCCAGCCTTCTGGAAGCGGAGGTGGTGACGCCGGGGGTAAGCTGGCTGCTGGCGGCGCACTGGCCTGTGTTTGCTGAGGCTGGAAAGCTGGATACTGGTCCCGTTGGCCACCGGCCAGCACGTCGTTGTGCGGCTGTGCAGCATCCTGCGGTGAATTTTGCTGTCTTGGATCATTGGCAAACGCCGGATGGTCTTGGGCCGGGACCATGGGCGCGGTAGCTCCAATTCCCGCAGCTGTTACTGTTGCTGTGACTGCAGGATGCTGCACAGCCGCGGAAGTCGGTTGGTTTGCTGCAGCTGCCAGACGTTGCTTTTCATTCGAATAGCCCTGAGAAGCCGAAGCTGGTCGCGGTACACTCGAGTAAGCCGGAGGAGGCGATGAACTGATGCGCATTCTCTCCAGATCTTGCTCGAGAGCATTACTCGGGATCCTCGCAGGCTGCTGAGTCTGTGGCGGTTGTGACGGAGCCACAGCCGGACCTGGTGTAGGATTCGGATCCAAAATCTGTGGCGGGACCGCCTCGGCGCCCTGGTACACGGTCGGTTCTCCATGGGGGTGAGATCCGGGCAGCTCAGTTGGAGTCCATGGCCGCTGGATAGGATTTCTCGGTTGCTGTCCGGTGTATTGTTCTGCTCGCCGCTGCGCCGCTGCGCTCTGAGCCTGAAATCCGGTCAGAGTCGATGTCCCCGCAATCCCTGAAGCCGCATAGCGAGCTTCAATATCAGAAGTCGGGTGCTGCCCAGGTTCAACAATCGGTGTCTCCGGAGGCGGCGGAGACCCTCGCTCGGCACGAGTTGTTGATGTGGAAGCGGTCGAGCTAAAGCGGTTGATACTATGCTGTGGCGGTTGTAGATTCTGTGATGTTGCCGTACGTGACGCTGGTCTCGCAGAGGTGGAGGGTTGCGGAGGCGGATAGTAGTGCTGGTTGTAGTCCGGATATGCCATGTTCTGCGGTGGCCCAGCGGCTGGAGGCCCTGGAGGCCGCTGGTTCATCCTGGCTAGATACCCTTCTCTATCGCCAGTGTCAACTATGGGAGAATCCGGTAGCGGCTTGGGCGCATTTCCTCGTCGTTCTGCCAAAGTCGATTGTTTGGGTTCGCGGCCATCCCGGGGTCGCAAAGCGGGAGGATAGTCAACTGGAGACCTTTGTCCACTGGACGTCGGAGAGGCACTCTGCCTGCCAGCTTGGGGTATTGGGCTCGAACCACTCGAGCCTGGTACCCGCACATGTTGCTGCAGCCTTGGCTGTTCATCGGCGTATGGTAGAGGGGCAGCACCCGGGGGAGCTGGAGAAGGAGTTTCTCGTTTGCTAATGCGCAACGGCCCAATTACAGGGGACTCGATCTCATGCTGATTAGGGCCTTGCAGGAAAAGCTCCTTCTGAGAACGATTGTTCCCAGAGGGATTCATCGTGCCAAAACCTGTTGTCGCGTAAATTCCAGACAGTATTCTGACGAATGAACACGGCGGTACGGATGTTATAATAGAAGAAATACGGGACCGAGTCTAAGGCTCAGGGGACAAAAAAAGGAGCTACCGAGGGTGGGCTGAGATGCGGGGTATATTGGAGAGAAGAATAGTCGTCAGCGTATGCGCTGAAGTGAATAACCAGTTCGTCACAACTTGAAACCCAACGAGGACGAGAGCAGGTTCAGAAACAAGCGCAGAAGCCTGTGGCCGGCTTTAGCCTGATGGTGATCACGGTCATCATCACGCAGCGAGCAAGCCGATGCAGATGCAATGGTTGGTTGGTTGGTTGGTCTGAGATAGGCGCCGGGCATTTGGCAATGCCTTGGGAGACTTCATTGGCCCAGCAGATCGCAGAGGAGGGGCTGCTCTACGGAGTACCTAGCTGTAAATTGCCGCCAAGGAGCGAATGAGCCCCCAGGAATCGACAGTTTACTCATTGGAGAAGGAGACGAAGCTGCTAATAATGTTCGCCTAATCACCTTCACGGTCATCTCCGAGCCTGAAGATGTTAGAAGTTTGGATTGTTCAGACTCAGATGTCTGGGTCGGCTCGCCCCGCAGCGAGACCAGGTATAATCATGAAGACATGCATGACTCGTGTATTCGTCGCTAATGAAACATGACATATAATCATCCAAATTGGTCCTTCATGATGGGTCAACCATAGCTCACTAGCCTATATCCCTGGTTCGCCGCTACCTCCCTCCAATCGATCTCGCGCATATGCCCTCCGCTTCGCGAATGCTGCAATTGGGTTTCGCACACAACCTGAAGGATCGATCTTGCTGTCGTCGCCTGGTATCCATATCCTGTCTCTTCAAGACTCGTCAATAGCTTCAACGCCGTCATCTTAGCTTCGGTTGACGTTGCAACAGAGCCAGTCAAAAACAGGGGAAAGATTAGGAATAAAGGGCCACTGTGACGGCTGTGGACAGCCATTCTTGCTGCGGAATGGAGGATTGCCTCTGTGTGTTGTTGAATCTCTTGTTCAAGATCGGAATTCACTTGTCCATGCCGAAGAATTGAACAGGAGAAAAGAAGAGATGTGTGGAAGAGGATAGATAGCTGGACGGGATATATTAGCTTTGTCTCGGAATATACCATCAGTCGTGATTTCCCTTGCTCACCTGATGGAAGATATGCCGTGCTCGCCTGGATAGGTTTGGTTGATTTTTTATAAGAAACTGAACTTCCTGTGCATTCCACAACTGCCTAAACCCCCTACGCGAAGATTCAAGTTCCCGGTACACACTTTCCGTACATTTAACAGTTGGGGCCCTCACTTTGGCAGCGAACAATCCTAAGCGAGCTGCCAACACAAAGCACTCCCGGTACACCCACGTAAGTAAAGGCTGGGCACCACGTCCTATATCATGCATCAACCCTGCTTGTTCAAATCCCACTGGGTATAGAAGGGATTCGGCTTTGGGAAGYAAGTGGCCCTCAACCGCTGCCCTGATATACTCTCCCGATCCAGTGCCACTAAAAAGAGCATATAGATCGACTTGGCAAATCAACCAAATAATGACAGGATATCGCTCTCTTTCGGCGACGGATTGTCTCACTAAAGATAATTGGAGCAATCGGGACATATTGTGCGACCAGAGATTTGGACCGTTGCTAGGTGCTGTAAAAGCAATCTAACCTCGTTAGCACGCAAAAAATGGCCAGAGAAGCACGTTACAAACCTGGTAAATAAGAAGGAGGAAATGAGTCAGAAATAATCCATCCGACAGAACATCGTCGCAGTTCTGAAGGCTGCTCTGGAGGGAGGGTAGGCCATGGTCATAGTACTGTAGGACATCCATGTAGTGAGCATTTCCCTGACGAACCAGACTGAGGGCTGACACCGCCATCATCACATGAAGAAGCTGTCATCGAAGTCATTAGGATTCATGCAACCCAAGCAAAGCACTCGGCACCACCCACTGGAGGGAAATTGGAAGCCTCTTGCTCAAACATGTTCGCCTCCAAGTAGCCGTGGCCCCCAGGGATCAATTGCATCCACACAATATTCTGGAATTGATCAAGAAGCGCCATGTCGTAAGTTTCAGGATCGACGGACTCAGATACCTGATCCTCTGAGATATCCTGCAAAGGAGTATACATCATCGTGTTTGGGACGGATGGTAGGTCAGACTCCGGAGACTGCGTATAGCTCCGACGGCTGTGATATGCTTGCTTTCTGGAATCTCTGAATTGATTGAGGAACACCACATTGGGGTCCTCAGACGTAGTGACGTCGTCCATGGGATCGTAGCTACTGTACTCGGAGAGCGGACTCGAGTACGGGTTGCTAGGCACAGTTTCAAGGGTATCCTCTGAGTATTCCGGGAGGCGCGCAAAGCTTTCTGGTACCACAACAACATGATACGTCCCTGGCGCTGATCCCTGTGCTTTTTTCTCCCGGTCTTCGTCTGATTTGAGCCTCGAGAAATCGGGAAGTAGATCGTAAGGGAACGATTCCGAAGCCGCGATGTGCTCTCTCCTGTGCGATGTTTTGGCTGCTAAGATGACACCATGCCAATTAGCATGTTGAGTAACGGGTTTAAAACAGAATAGGGTTTCCCACGGTCCCAAACAACATTTCCTTTAGTCTTGACGTCGGCCATGCGCTCCATAACCCGACGAGTGTCGTCTCTGAAACACAATCGCGGCTGATAGTCACAAACATGGCCAAGCCGTGCGCATTGCTAGATATCAATTCATGTTAACATATACGTGGAGACTCAGTATAGGACCTAAACTCACATTGCATTGTGGATGAACCTCATCGCATTTAACTATGGACAATCAGTACATGATCTGATGGCGAATGATACATGCGATTGTGTTTGACTCACTTTTGCGACTCTTATACGAGACAAACCGTCCAAGTCAGCGCATGCTCACTTTATATAACCTATTTGCATGGGATAAAGAGGATATGGCTCACTCTGCATGTCCTGAATTTTGAGATTGAGTTAGAAAAGGCATGCCAAAAGGAGAATTGCACCATGATAGCAAGACATACCAACATCCAGTCCGGGAACGTGGCGGGAAGCGGAGACGGGGCTGGATGATTGTCGCTCTGCCAGCCGTCGGTGCACCGCCATGGCGGCTCAACGGCGTCACATCATCCTTAGGTGCAATGGTAGGCAGGCGTAATGGGCGCTTCCTCGAAGATTGACCTTTGCGGGCGGACATCTCCAAATCGAGAACGGTTCTCGGATGAATGGGATATAGAATGGGCTGGTGCTGCAATGGATTAGACGAGAACACCAGTTCGAGAGAATGATGGAGAGCAATCAACAAGCTACCTTTAAGCATATATATAGTATGACACTAGAGCCTCAAGAGCCACGTGTGGGCGATGATAGCTTTCGGCCGGGCCCTGCCCAGGTTACTTCTTTTACCTTTTTACCTTTCGATTGTACGCAACCGGTAATCGGAAGCGAAAAAAGTAAGAGCCAGACCAGAAAGACCAGAAAAGGGATCGAATGGATCGTGAAGATACGTTCTCAGCTGGGGTGGGGGACCAGTCTGGACAGAAATAAGCACGCCAGCATCGCGTACTCCGTGGAGCTATCCATGATGAGACTAGGGGAAGTAACGGAACGAGAGATTAGACAAAAAAAAGGATACAAGGGGATGCATGAGACGCAATCCCGGTAGGGTCTTGAAGAAGTGCATCCAGCCTGCCACAGACTAGCCTGGAGCCCTGGCTGTACGAAGGGGAACGCCGAAATACGAACGGAGGACGAGAAAAGTCCAGCGAATGGGATCGAGTCGGAGGAGACTCAGGAGAGAGCAGCCAGCGAGCGATGCGGCGATTCGTGCGGGTCGATTTGGGGAGATCGAGAGAGGGAGAAATAAACAAAGACCAAGCACAGAGTCTGTGCAGCTGCCAACCATGTGGGTTCCACACCACCGACGTCTGATCTCTTCAAGGCCTGGTTCCCATTCCCCCATCTGCCCCCCTCTCTCCTCTGCATCGCTCTTTTCTTTTTCTCAACTTTCTGCTGTCGAAATGCAAGATCTCGACTCCTCAAGACTCAGCCTGCCTGTGGCGAAAAATAGAACTCTCATCTCGATCCTTCAAAACCTTCAGGCACTCTGGTCACATCCCGTCGGGTCCCATTAATCGGGCCCGAATGGGGTGAGGGCATGCTTGCCTCTCTCCATAATTTTCTCGGAGCCGAAGGCAGTCAAGGGACAAAGTAGAGTGACTCCTTGTATTTGCAATAGTCTAGCTTCGTTCTGACAGTTCACACGGCGATGTCCTATCTCGCACTTCACTAGTAGTCTACGTAGTCTACTCCCCGCTGGCTTGAAGGCTTGGACTGCATCTCCACGAATGGGCCCTGACGGCCTGACCTAGACTCCCATTAACCCTCTCGAGTCTCGGCGCTCGCACTCTGTGCCAGCGCCTGCCCAGCCTGCCATGTGCCAGTCAGAAACGCGACTATACCGATGAGACTAAATTAGCGGCCCAGAAAGTCGTTCTAACTTCTGACTTCTGATTATCAGCGCCTGGAGTTTTGCCGTGCAGACTCCGGATTCCCAAGAATAATCGCCCGGCCTGGTCTGGAGCACCCAAGGGACAGGGCGAGGAAAAAGCAAAGAAAGTGCGAGGTGCAGGACATCATAGTCGGTCGGTTTATTGAACCCGACCCAGTGTTGCCTCCTCGGCAAGCATCGCTTGTGATTCGCCAGCGCCTGCATGACTGGTCTGACTCGGATGAGGGAGGCAATAATAATCATCATTGTTCTTGTCGCACTCTATCGTAAATAAGGATATTGGTCAGAAAATACTAATCGCCATTTCGGACGAGGCCAGCTTTAGCTAGCTTTAGAGCCGGACGCTAACTCCAGGAACAGAACGGACCGCAGCAGTCGGCTGATGAACCCTCCTCTTCGCTTCGCGCCCTTCCTCCCAAAGTCCCACGTCGGGTGACACTGGCACCGCTGATAGGGCTCCTGCTGCTGTTCCGGCTCAAGGGAACGAACCACTGGCAGCGAAACAAACCATTTCTTAGCTGCAGGCCCGCAGGCTGCAGCGCATCCCCAGGAGGCTGGCTGAAAGGAAGATTTGTAGTAGCACAAAGTTTCCCCAGAGTTCCAGACATTTCAGCTGCTCGATCGGCGTTCAATCCCGTTCGCAAGGTTCATACCTGTCAGCCGTTAAGAACCGCCCGAAACCTTGTCGCACTTTTACTCTGGTGCCAACTGTCCGATCACCTGATCGAGTACCTGCCTGACGGGGCCAGATCTCTCCTCCTTTCGCCAGTCGCCGATGGTCGTTCGTAGTCCCGGGTCCATCTCCCATCCCGCTTGCTGGCAGAGCTTGACGTATGAAGCCATCGCCTCTGCACGTCCCTTTCGGATGGCCTCGACCGACAAGTCAATCTCGCAAGAGAGCGACTCCACTGTCAGCGCTGCCAAGATCCCGTGAATCTCGCGTAGATGATTAGCTTCGCTGTCCCTGTTGGAAGCCCATGTGCTTAATTGGGTGAATAGGAGGCGCAGCCCTTCGTACAAAGAAATCTGCACCTGTTTTCCTCCGTGCCCCATAGCTCTACGAATGTTTGGTCTCAAATCAGCCAGATAGCCTTCCAAGACTGTGCGACCTAGATCCCAAGTTCTTTTATTAGCTCACTGATATGGAACGCAGAAAAAGGAGGCTCTTCTCACCTCTTGAGGGTGTTTGCAACGGTGAGTTAAAGCACTGCAGGAGGCAATTTACACAAGCCGCCAGCGTATTTTCCAGAGTTTGTTTTGTCCTTGAACCGCGACCCGAGTCGACATCCATGGGGTCTCCTGCATCGTCCATGTCATCCAGCACTTTGGAAACGATGCTGATTGCATCTACCGTAAGATCAAGGTCCTTGCGCGCTTGTGCGACTCCACCGAGAGCAGTCAGGCCATGTGGTCGATATGCAGGGTTATTTCGTTTTGCCTCTCGAATCGTAATCGTCTGCGCGCAGATCAGCCCGTAGCTCGAAGCCAAGCTGCCGAAAATAAAGCAGTCGCCGACCATATAAAAAAAGCAAAAAGAGCAAAGATCCAGTTAAAGTTTTCTTACCTTCATCAGCTCTCCCAGCTGTGGCTGTTCCAGCCACAATTTCCTGGCTTGGCTCGCAAACCGAACAAATGCCTTGAGCACATTTTCCTTCCCATCCCAGGTCTTTCCAGCCAATGCCCGTTCTAGGGCAGGCCAGAGGTACTGACTTGTGCCCAGGTCGATCTCCGAATCCAGTGACGTGATGGCGTTTCCGATTGCCAACGCTGCAGTGTGCTTTATCGCCCAGCGAGCTGACTCCAGGTTATCCCTGACAAGATCGGTAATTTCCCTGATGTACAAGGATACAGCCCGGTTGCCGCCCACGTTGTCCTGCCACGTTTTGTCAAACACCTCGCGAACATGCTCATCCAGGTCATGTTTCGCGACGAACACAAACGGCAAGGCGGTCGATGCAAACGCCATGAAGCGATCATTCGATAACTTCGATGATGAATGCAGTATCTCGGCAGAGATCACCCGCTGATTGGCATCTTCAGCTGTGAGGTATAGAGTTTTGGCATGCTCGATTGTTCTGAGGATTCTGTCGTCTGAGGCGAGACGCATGAGGTAGCCAATGGATGAGCAGTAGGATGCGCTCACGGTGTCGTTCCTGTCCACGACGTATTTACCGAGGAGCTGGATGAATCGATCGGCGTAGGGCTGGAAGAGGACTGTCCGCATGCTTAGCAGGACTAGCACACGGCTGCATCCGACCTTGGATGGGAGGCCAACGGCGGACCGAAGCACGCCTTCGAGCTTGACTGCGAATTCCTTCATGCTCTCGTCGTCTAGCATATCGATGAGGTATCGCTCAATTACTTCCATCATGGGAGATGTGCGGATGCTGGACAGCCTCATCTTGTCTATCTCTTGCCCTGTTAACCCGTACTTGTCAGCGTTGAGATGGACGTAGTTGACTGCCTGCGGCTCCAACGAGCTGAGGCAGTTCAAAAACTGCTCTATGATGCTAGGGACAAACGGCCGCAATGAGTTACCAGGTCCCTTCTTGATCATCTGTAAGAGAGCTCCAAGTGCGAATCCCTGAACTTCTTGGACGCTGGATTCCATGCCTTTATCACTTAGAAGGAATGGTATGGTGCTTTCAAGCATAGTCCTGACTCGTTTCGTGTCAGAATCGCTCACCTCTAATGTGCGGATAACAGATCCAGTTATTGTTTGGCAGAGCTTTAGAGCTGCAATGCGGACACTCTCCTTGATATCATCTACAAGCTTGAATGCCTTGGTAAAGATTTCATCAACGTATTTGGCATACACGTCTGGCTGCCGACCCTGGATTAAATCTGCAATTGCGGCACAGCTTGCCTGTCGCATTCGCCATTCGCGCCCAGCCAACATGCTCTTCAAAAGATCAGTAATGATCTCGTCGAAATGAGCACTGATAATAGCATTTGGGTCCTTGACCAGGGCAAGCCAGATCGTGTTCATTGAGCGCTGCACGTTCGGATTTGGATCGAACCGATAGCGAAAGAGCTTTGGGTAGATCTTGGTGTTCTTCGCCAGATATCCATTGACGCTGGAATCTGAGAAGATGCTGCTGATACCAATCTTGCTGAACGCTGCCCGGCTTGTCCAAAGCGCGTTGTTAGAAGCCAATGACATGAACCGATAAACAAGGGTGGGATCGCCAGCCTCGGAAGCGAGGTTCATAATGTCTTTGTATGTATTGACCGACGAGCCTCCGCCGGTCGGTAATGCTCCTGGCTCGAAAAGCTCGGTCTTTTCATTCACCTTCCCTCCGCCGAGGTTTGCGTTAGTCGCGGTAAACGAGTCCACAAGATCACGAACGAGGTCATCCTTGAGAGCTTGGTCGCCCATTTCGTACACTAAGCTCAATCCCTGAGCTCCAGTTTCCTGAACCATCTCGTTCCGGTCGCTCAATAAGCTAGCAAACGTGATTTGGCATTTGCGTAGGCGGCTTTGTACCTCTTCCATGTGACCGCAGTTTTTGACCAGACAAAGTAACCATATCGCAGATGCTTTCCTCAAAGACGGTTTTGATGTTCTGCAGTCCATAGCAAGCTTATCACAAACATCCGCAAGGACCGAAGTCGGAATCTTATTTTCAGGAAGCTGCTCGTCGACGTCGAATTCTGGAACTAGCGACTTGGAGTTCCAGCTGGCGACGGCATTGCTCAGTGCCTCACCTACTGTAAAGTGAACTTCAGGACTTCGGAGCTCATGCAAACTGTAAAGAACATCAAGTAATTGCTCAAACTGCAGCGCCTCACTTGGAAAGGCGAGCAGAAGCAATCCGATAGCTGAGATAGCAATATTACTCTCAGCCTTTGCATCTTTGGCAAGCTTGTCCTTTACAGTCTCCCACTCGTTTTCAGTGAACGTAGTCGGAGACAGAAGGCCGGACAGGCTTAGTTGTCCAATAGCTGTCTGTGCAGCCTGCCGGAGAAGAGAGTCGCGCGACGTATCAACAATGGTAAAGACAACCTTGACAAATCCGTTCAGTTGCGCCTCGGAAATCTGCCCTTTTGCTTCTCTGAACGCAAACCTGCTAAACACAAAAGCTAGTGCGAGTATCGCTCCTCGAGCCTTGAGGATTCTCTCGCCAACCGCCGACTCCCAAGATCCTGCCGTGGCCGAAAGCTCCGTTGCTAGATCGGACAGATCTTCCTGCGGAAAGGCAGGATGGGAGGCTAGAATGCCGATTGCTCGAGCGGCGGTGTTCTGAGCATCCTGGTCATTGCTGGATAGAGCTCCTTTCAACGAGAGAGCCTGCGGTAGAAGCCACTCAACCGAGTTGTTGGCTGCCAATGAGCAGATACTGACAAAGTGCTCTCCACATATTCGCCGACCCTCTCCATATCCATCAACAAGACCCATGAGAGTAGACTGCAGGAATATCCCGACCATATCCTGCCCATTCGATTGCATATGCCTTTTCAGAGCCGCCCGTGCCTTTTCATCTGATGCGAGCATCAAATCAAGCTTAGGTTCCCAATCTTGCTCTATCTTCATCTCAATCCCAGCCGCTAAGAGAGACTCCCAGAACAGGATATTGCGGAGAAATGTCATTGCCGGGGCGAATGAGTCTCTGTATCGGCCAGAGAACATTCCAAACTCATGGTTTCCAGGTACCACTGTGAAAAGCAAGAAGTTTGTGGCCTCAATAAAGCTAGGAAAGTCAAAGTACAAAGTGGCTTTACCTGAAGAATTGGTAGTTTTATTCTCCATGGTCGGATTCATCAGCCTGTACCAATATGGATTGAGGCCTTTTCTCCCCTCTTCAGAAATCTCCTGGTGTTTATCGGTACCCCCTGCAACGGCCATAAGATCGATCCAGCGCGCAACAACATTGCTAAATGGCAAGAATCGGTTCGTAAATCGCACTGCTGCATACTGTGGGCCACGCACAATTGTGCACCCGGTTTCCTCGTTGTCGCCTCCAGGGTATGTCCTCATCTGGGACAGAAGGAAATGGCTCAGCTCCTTCTGGAACTCGACGTCCCCGACATCTATTGACGAATTAAGGATGCTCCCGAGAGCCTGTTCAATGCTGACGAAAATTTGGGGGCTGGAGTCATCACAGCTTAGCGACGTGAACAGCCATTTGATCAGCTCGAAATAGGAGATCGTTTCGTGCCCATCACTAAACTTGAGGTCGGCTTTGGGGACAATGATCCCAATACTCTCATATGCAAGAGCGCGTAGACTCAGATCAGTACCAGGAAGCCGCTGCCCGCTAGCTCCTGGACTAGGCCAACCCTGGGAGCGAATAAAGTCCATCAATCCGGCAATGACTTTTGGGGCCATCTGCCTGAGATCAGCCGGTGATCCCATGCGGACCACCCATGTTGTAAAGTTGAAGATCTGGGTTCGCAACTTCGAGGCCTGTAGTCCTTGAGAAGACCTTGCCGAGTCTGATAAGAGACCATCCTCAATTAACCGAATTATTTCATTAGTGTATGTCGTGGCTGTCACCGACTTTCCGAGAAAAACTAGAAGCTTGGTTTGCAGGGCAGGACCCGCCGGGCGAGCCCCGTCTGGTGTCTCAGCACCAAAATAGAGTTGATAGAGCTGCTGCACGACATCCTGGTTTTCAAGGTCGGGTATAAACCTCTTGAGAAGTTCCTCGGCAAGATCAGACAAGCGTGAGTTACTGTCTGCGGACGCAATGATCGCGGGCATAATCCGTTCTGAATCACTGAATGCTCCGCTCGAGATGAACCTCAATACTCGCACTTTCGTTTCAGTAAGATTCAACCCGCCATCTCGGGCGAGGTCCCATGTCTCAGTTACAGGCGCGTCCTTGTTCAAAAATTTGCACTCCGCTGGAGATAGACCTGAACACGTGGAAGTGGCCTTCTCAGGCGTAAGAAGCAGTAGTCTCGCAAACCAGTAAGAGAGAAATTGGGTATCCTGGTCAGAGAGATCCAAACGAGCCTTCAGACTGATATCATCCGCGCTATCCTTCGGCGGAAGCTTTAATAATGGCAAAAGCCGTAGCACCAGGTTGAACACAACAGCCCCCTGATTCGCAGACGTCCCAATCTCGGAGATGCCCTGCAATAACGGCACCAGAATCTCAACTCTGGCATCAGAGCCCAAGCGATCAATACCCTGCTGTAGGTAGATCAGGTCGAAATGCCTGATAAGTTGTGCTTTTTGCTCCTTGAACTGTTTCAACAGCGCCGCAACGGGGAGCTTGATTGCGGGGGGCTTGACTCTGGTGTTGATATGCTGGCAAACGGAAATCACTTTGCTGCGAACCGCATGACTGTGCGCGCCCAGTTTCAGTAACAAAGGGGCCAAGTATGTGCCGAGGAGGGACTCCAGCTTCTCGTCTGTATCTGCTAAGGCGATTCTGAGCTCAACCTTGGAGATCAAGCTAAGCTCTCTGGCTTCCGCAATGTCGGTCGCGGCCATGTTGAACTTTTTTTTATTGTGGAAATCGAGGACTAATTTCAAGAATGGAATAGCAGAATATACATCTCAACATAGGAACAACTGGAAAGGAAAGCAGAAAAGAGGGTGAGATCCAAAGTCGCCCCCAAGCCACTAGGTAGGTAGAAACGCTCAACGTCAGCTGTAGTGGACCTGATAGTTAGTGATACCGTACGGTAATGGGGCCACCCGATTAGTCAGGATTCAGGTACAATAACACCTAACATCTAAGGCTATTTATATCAAGTAGATCCAGTATTCAGAGAGATCATATCATTTCAAATTGAGATACGTGATAAACACATGATTAGAGTTAAAGATATGGATATCAACAAATCTCAAGTCATTTCTGCGCCGGAAGTGAGGACAATATATATTGTGGATCGGTCGGTCCAGCCTACCGTCTATTAGCTAGTCGAAATTCTTCGCTGCTTCGCCGCCTCGGCTCTCAAGAACCTGGCGACATCACCACCAGCGCTCAAGGGACTGTCTGTAGGCTGTTGCTGCCTCGGGCTGCCAAATAGGCACTGCCACAGATCGTCCTTCCTAACCAATTCGCCACCGTAAGCGCCGACCTCCATCAACTTGGCTAGTGGCGCTTCTTGCACCTCCAGGGAATTGGCAGAGTCGATAGCCACCTCGCTGAGGTCCTCAATGATATTTCCGTTCACGCCATTTTCAGCTAGCGTTGAGACATTGGCCTTATGTTCCCGCTCCTTTTGGATAATGTGATCCAGGCGGCGAGAAACCGAGATGTCGTAGATCGATTTTTCGACGGTATCAGAGATCAGATACATCCAAACGGTAGTCGGTCGATGCTGTCCAATACGATGGACTCGCGCAATGGCCTGGAGTTCGATTGCTGTATTGATGAGTGGCTCGCAGAGGAAGACATGAGCTGCATTGATCAGGTTAAGGCCAGATGAATGTGCTTTAGCATGCAGGAGAAAGCATTCAATCTTCCTGGAAATCAGTTTGGATAATTGTTCATTGGAGGAAGATGACATACCCCGGGGTCCTTTTTGAACTTCGCTATACCGTCTGGCTCATCGACACTGCTAAACCCAATCTTGAAGCGCTTGAATGCAGTGCCAAGATAGTCAAGAAAGCCCTTGTACTGGGAAAAGACAATAGATTGAGCACCGGGGTCGTGTTCTCGGAGCCACAGAACATGGCGTGCCAGTGTATCTATTTTGGTTCCAAAAGAGTCTTTCAGGTCGATATTCTTGATTTCGTGTAGAGTCCCCGCTCCAATATCAGTATATATAGAGTTGCTGGAATGTTGCTCTGTTTCAATGCTTGACGCAGACTTCTCCTCCTGCACCACAAACTCCTGCGGCTTATAAGTAATCTGATAGAAGTCGTTGGCGCCTAGACGCTTTTTGCAGACCGGACAAGTACGATGTTGACGCCACCATAGACGTAAACAGTCTTTGCAATACTTATGGCCGCATACCGTCAGGACACCTGTAAGAGTCAGTCATCTGGCTAAATTACCAGGACTATAGCTACCCACCAACCTCAAAGCTGCACTGACATATAATGCAGATTTTCGAGTTCTCATCCGGGTTTGATTCATCTCGTAGATGAATAAGATAGCGGCCCTTTGCTTTCAAAGAAGATATTCTTTCGTCCATACCCTCTTCTTGCTCTAGTTTTCCGGCGAACAGCTGGTGATCAAGAGGTTTGCCAGCACTTTCTTCATCGTAGGGTGCTACAGTATCAGAGATTTGTTGCAGCTGACGGTAGTACTCGAGGCGGTTATTCATAGTGTCGCGAAACATCTCTATTTCCTTCTCTATATTGGACGCAATTTTTGTCTGCTCTGTCGACATGTCCGTGACGTTCTTGAGAACCTTTGTAAGAACCTCTAGCTCAGCACGCGCTCTTGTACTCCCGTCGTTCGCTTGCCATTCGAGTGAGGAGCCGAGACTGCGAAGTTCAGTGATAGCTCCACGCAAAGACCCAAGGTTGGGGCCAGGCTTCACTTCACTTCGTTTCTCCATGACCTCCAGATAAAGTGTTGGGGAAGGTCCCTCTCCTTTCTGCGCTTGCGATATCGCTACTTTGGCTTCATGGGCAATAAGCACATTTTTCTGGCCCGTCAGAGCATCGTGACGATCAGCAAATAATGCACGGAGTGCTTCCATGTAGACATACATCTCGTCTTGATGCTTTGTCGACTTCTCATACTCATCGCCCTCGAGTTCGGACTCGTCCTCCTGGTCGATCAGTGCTTGTGAGAGAAGTTCGACCATCTTTTGGCGCCATTCATTGTATAGGTCAGCATGGTCGTTCATCATACCACAAAATTCTTCGAGTCGCTCAAACACCCGACGTGACTCGAGCCCTCTACTATATAGCTGGAGTTCCATTTCGGGAATGGCCACGAACTCCTTCTTTCCGGATTTCTCCTTGATTCTCTTCACGTAGCGCTTCGCTTTCCGAGAAATCTCAGTCAGAATTTCTTGTCGGATTAGTTTGGCTTTCGCATACGCCTCCTCTTCCAACTTTGTCAACGCCTGGAACTCCTCGGATTCAGGCTTTGTGAGATCAGGATCGGACTTTATTTGATAGTAAACGTTTCCAGTGAAGAATATCGCAATGTGTTCGACCTCGAGCGCGGCACGTAACCTCTGGCGAAATGTATGAAGTCGAGTGCTCTTCTCAGTTTCTTCACCTTCATCATCACTCATAGGCGATCTTTCATCCCGCGCGCCATTAGATATAGGTGTTGGCTGTTTCTTTCGTTCTATTAGCAGCCTCTCCCGGCATTGCTGGACAGTGTCGCTTGCACGATTCAAGGAAGCTTTCCATAGATCAAGAGCTTCTCGTTTACGCTTCGCATTTTCGAGTAGTTGACCACGTCGCAGTTGTGATAGAAGAAGAGAGCGTTCCTCGGCATGTATCAGGGCATCATTCTGGTCAATCATGACCTCCAACACATCATTGACCGATCGTAAAGGACCATTGCCAGCAGCAAACCCTCTGCGTCGGTTCCCAGTAGGGTAGAGACAAGACTGTCGAAGCCGAACAAGCCAGCTTCTCATTCTGTCGATAACGGACGGATCGTTCGGGCTCCAATCATTGTTGCGAGGTGAACCCGAAGTATCGAGCCCGCAATCATCGCACATCTCCTCATAGAGCTGTCTATAGCTTTGCTCTTCAACAGCAGTAAAGGGTACTGTGATAACAACCCTCTTTTGTGGCGGCAAATGTAGCTCTTTTCGGATGAAATCTTTACTATGTCTCAGCGTAACCGTATTCACAATTCGGGCCAGAACAGGTTTGAATGTTGCTTCACACAACCTCCTCCATACGGGCCCGCAAAAAGGTTCATACTGAAGGAACAGCAGTAGCCCAAGTAAATCGGTAATGTCTTTCCGGAGTGGTGTTCCGGTCACAGCCCATGCTATTTGGCGAGGAATGAGCCGAGCAACCTTCGCTGCATTGCTGACACCACTCTCGATCATCTGGGCTTCATCCAAACAGACCCGCCACCATGAGATTCTGACCAGGGGCGACTTCCTGGGCTCAAACCGTTTTTCATGCCGGAGGTTCCTTTTCGGGGCGGCACCAGCATAGTGGATTTCCCGTGCTAGCACATTGTATGTTGTGAGCACAACATCGTTATCAGCCATCAGCTCAACTAGCTCCTGATCTGACAATGTTTGGTGCCGTTGAATGCCAGTGTAATGGAAAACTTGGAGCTTCGGGGCATGTAGCTCAATCTCTTGTTTCCACTGTTCCAGTATTACCGACGGCGTTATGATTAAGGTTGCCCCAGAGGGTCTCAGACCATCACTTCCAAGTCCCGCGAACGTTTCTTCGGGGCGCAATATCCGGCGATTCAGACACATTAGACTGATCATCTCAACTGTCTTTCCTAAGCCCATTTCCTCAGCCAATACCCCGCCTCTAAGATGGTCATTTACGTCATACCACGCAGAAAGGTCTCTGCTGACTATCATGTGTAGGTGGCTAGCAAAACAGACCTTCCCATCTGCATCGGTAATCTGCTTGAACGACTCTGGCAAGTTGGTCTTCAAATGACCCCCGGTCGGTACCACCTGGCCGTTGGGATTAAGCTCCTTTCCCTCTCTGTTTAAAAGCCACCTAACTGCACGCCTCTGAAAGGGGAAAAGCTCACATTCTATCAAATCGCATTTGAAGGGAGCTGAAAGCTCGGTTGTTTTTGGGGGAACGTGGACATTGTTGTAGAAGTCCCGAGGCGTCCAATCATTCCCCCCCTTCACAACTCGAGTCCTGCGTGTTATATAGGGGTCGTGTTCCTCTTCCTCCTGCAAGACGTACCTGTAGAATGCCGCTGAAGCAGCTTTAGGTAGTCTCTGGTAGTCTGCAATATCGAGAGAGTCCTTCCATAAGATGATAGTTTCGAGATAAAAAGACGTGCGATTTGGGCAGTACCGGAGAGTGGACTGATAGCTGACAGCCGGTGGCTTTGCCGCATGGTAACGATCTGCGCACATAAGATCGCTCGCGATGGCCAGATGCTCTCCAAGGCTAATGATATCAGGGTCGTGAGACGTGTCGATGAATACCGTTTCTCGTTCCTGGATCGTCTCCAACTCCAAAACCACATAGTCATTCACAGTCTCCTCTTTCTCCAAATGACTCGGTTTGGTGACTTTGATAAGGACGGGCAAGTTGCGTTCTGTGCCACTAGGATCGCCCCACCCATCCTGTGAGAGGCCCGCGTGTGCGAAATTCTGTAAGCCCATTAGGACAATTGACCTAGCTAATCTCGAGCATGCGCATACCAAATGCAGATGACATCGTACTAGAGGTATATAGCCATTGGGAACAAGTGATGCCGACACGCCTTGTACTTCCCGTAGACTTTGAGACTTCGAATATGTTTTGCGGCGTTTAATAAGAGGTTCACTACTCTCCCTATCAATATGCCGCGTGAAGGCATGAGCCAAAGTATCAGGAACGGCGTCTGGAAACCAAGGGATACAATCAGCAAGGTTTTTAGCAACGTAAAATTACAGACACTGTACCTGGGTAGAAGATAGCCGCCTTTGTCACAGCCATCCCGCGATCTTTCATCCGCTTCTCTCCGCTTTGGAAGAAGAGAATATGCACTGGGGGTGATGAGATGCCTTTGTATTTATCGATAAAGATCACGTGTTGATAAGCCTACAGTAGTCCGTACATGCTCCTACATACGTTACACGTACAGCCTAGGTGAGGTGGACGTGGAACTAAGCCCTGTTAGGTAAAGCCTAGTAGCCCCCACCCGCCCCCGGGCCGTAAGGTCTAGCCACACCTCCAGGGCAAAGGTTCCACCAATGATGCAGTTAGCCTACAGACTGACTCCAGCTACTCGCTGCAACTTCCACTCATTAACAGACCATGCAGTTAGGTTTCCGTATCCAACACCACAGTGCCATTCACAGCCCGTACAGACCGCTGGTAGATGGCCCCCCCCGCGTCACTCTCAATAGTGGTGCTCGTGTCCCCGAACGAAGTCGAGTTGCTATTATCTGCTGTTGATTGATAGGATGATTGTCCCCATTGGGATACATCCAGATGCAAGGGTCCCGAAGTCATGGAGTAAGAGGAGATACCCGGAGCACCGCTCGACGCTATCTCAAGTCCCCTAAGCAGCCAAGCGTCGATGGTAAGACCGCCATCCACATCACCGTAGGTTGTGTTTACAAACAGCGGGTACTCAAAGCTGAGTTCTTCCAAGTTGTCACCATCACCAAGCGGACCAAAGGAAGCCGTTCCTGAAGTATGCTGCACATTCTTTTGGCTCAACCCTTGCTGTTTCAGGAGGCCACTGTTCGAGAACGAAAGATTCTGGGTCCATACGAATTCACTGGACTTTATTGTAATGGCTCTTTCCGCCAGGACCGAGTATGCCAATGACGAATTTCCGCCTGTACTGTTCCGAACTAGGTCTCTCGTAACGGTAAAGGTAGGTGTGGGTGCTATAACCTCGGGGATTTGACCGAATCTGGCGGAAACCGGTAATTGCTCATTAGTGTTGTCGGACAAATAAAGAAATATGTTCCCTGAGACAATCCAGTACGATCCGACTTGGTTGGAAAGCGTAGCAGTCCCATTGCTTGAAACGTCGAGGCCCACAACTCTAATCTCAAAAGAGTGCTATGAACCGTCGGTGAGAAGAGGTAAGAAAGGCGAGATATCAATTTCCGGCGCTCTCAGATCAAATACATCAATTCCCACAATGGGTCGCCAAAACCCTGGAGACACACCACCGGTGAAAATGGTTGGAAAGGGCCAGGCAACGCCGGCAAGGATATCGTCAATATATAACTGGATTTCGCGGAACGGAGAGTATCCGTGAAGCTCACCAATACTATTGTCGAAGGTCTCTGTGTCGGACGAAAACACATTGGACCACCAGAACTCTTCGGCGGACTGGCCACATGCGGATATTGACACAAGCGCACGAGAGACCCGCGAATCAAATATGTAGGACACCTTTGCTTGCTGCGAGGGGACGTTGAACGCGCTGGATGAGTTTAGTCCCGAGCTTTGCGAAGAAATTGGAACAACAAGGTCTGCAGTTTTAACATTATTTCCGTGTGAGAAGTGAGCCGTGACGGTCACATTGAAAGAGCCGGTATAAGTATCGTCAATCAAGTTCCCTAGATCGAATATGATCTTTTGAGGCTTCTTCCACAGCACGTTATAGTGTGACATATCCTTGACATAGGTCCAGATGATCCCATTCGCCGTGGGTTCTGCGGTTGATGTTCGAAATACTTCAACGTCTCCAAGCCACATATGTGCTAAGCGGTCGAACTGTCGTCCCCTGGAAGTGGCCGTGAGGTTGATCCAAACCGTATCAAAGTAGCAATCTGGTGGGGCATAGTAGCCTAGTAGCACATATTATTAACCTGGAACAAACCGTCAAAGGGTGACATGACCCCACCAACAAACGGCTGGCCGTAGCTATAACCAAATACATGGTCTAAGAGCAGTACGTCCTCTCTGCAAGAGGAACCACTTTGCCCTCCGATTGAAACAGGCTGGTACACCTGAAAAACCTCAAGGACTGCGGTAGATGGTGATATAAAACGAGCCCAAAGCCATAAACCGGCCCAGAATATGAATAGCATGACTAGTAATCAGAACAGTAATTTGGGAGCTTCGGGCATTCCTGAGGCTTGACAATAGGTCGGCGGCTCAGTGTTCTCTCCTCACGGCAGCAAGCTCGCACCCTGTTCAGTCTGGGCATTAATTATATCATAGATGCAGTTGCTGTGAGAGCCGCAGCTACCAAACGAGCGGGGCCTCCTTTTTTTAAGGAAAGACCAGCTGCGCAATCGGAAATCACTAGTGGCTGATGGATTTCATCCATCCTGTATTGATGACCCCTCTCTGCCGTTAAAGTGTCCGGCTTTCAGGCGTATCATACGATTTTATCGTAAGGGGTACATGGCCAATTGGTGTTGGGGTACGGGAACTGTATTCGGAGTTGGAGTTATATAGGCCTGAGACAAGAGCGCCGAGGTAGGCAGGTAGATACACGATATCTGCTCCGTATGACCTCAAGGGACCTCCGAAATTGCTCTACCGTGTGATAATAGCTGCGGCACAAGCGCCTGTCAAGAGCACCTACCTGCAGTCATAATCTCCGTCTGGTCTAGAAGGAAAATTAGCCCCAAACTCAAATGAGATAAGACAATGGCGCCAGACCTTGGGCGTACTACATATGTTACGTATCACGAATCCGGAGCATAGGTCGCGTCCCAGGCCAGGGGCAGCGTTGCGGATGATTTTCAAGCAATCGCGATAAGCCCCCGCACCCGCCAGCCTCCAGACAGCCTCCACTTTTTATAATGGTGTACTGGCAATGCCTAGGTAGAAGATATATGGGTCGTATTATTCTGTACATGTAGGTATAGGAGTAAACTGGTAAAGTTCCTCCAGTCACTTTTCCCCTGTAAGCTCTCAAGACTCTTCTCAAGACTCTTTGTTCTTTGTTCAAGAAGGAAAAGAGATAATCGCTGGCAAGCACTATTTACCTAGGACAAGGAATGGAGCTGACGACCGTAGAGAATCTCGACATCATGCAATGCGAATGATGTAGTACATGATACACAGCAATCAGGTTCCAAGTTACCAGGTCGCAAGACTTCGTTGCCTAAGCACTCGGCTCCACCGACGGCAATAGCTTACATCAGAAGACGCCAGGCACCGAGAATCAAAGCGGCAGTACCAGTGCAAACGCCCCTGTAACAGGCGATCAGCAATCCCTAATTCAATATGGAGAGGGGATCCATACATAAGCCATTGCAGCGTAGAGAACTTGACGGCTTCCACACGTTCCCTCAGACCTGCAACTTCTTGCTCAATTCTTGTTTCTGTCTCCTTAATTCGCATCTCTTGGCTATTCGCTTCCTCCCGAATGCGGCCTTTTTCAAGGTTAAGATCAAGACGGACGGACGCCTGAGTGCGCCCTATCTCATCCCGTAGTCGCGAGTTGAGTTTTGCAAGGTCGGCAGCTATCTTTTCATGTGACGAGCGTGTCAGCTGTGCCTCTGTCGAGTCTGCGTTGAGTAGTTCTGATCGGAGTTTCGCAAAGTCGACTTTCTGGGTGTAGGCCGATCTTTCGGTGTCTAAAGTTCAAGAAGCGTTCAGCATCAATCTGAAAGGCTCGGGCCTCAAACCGGCGGCGAAGTCTTGAAAATAACCAATAAAACCACGGGGACGACTAACCTTCCCTCAGAACCATTGTCCGGGTAAGGTTCTGGATCGACTCCTGAATAACGTCATTCAGAACCCGCATCATCGCGACAGCCTGCTCTTCGCTGAAGCCTTCATCTTTGAGCCGCTGGACGAATTTCAGCGTATCGAAATGGTGGTCTCGCTCCCTCGGTACCGTGGCATGGAACGCTCGACGAGCTGGGTCGAATGTCGCAACATACACTCCATTATGCCGGATAGGGTCGCCGATAGACTCTGTACTCCGGGTATTGGTCTTGTAGTATATCGAACGAGGGAAGCGTTTTGCGATCGAAGACGAAGCACCGCTTTCTCGGCATGCCGTGGAAAACGATGCAGCCAGCTGCGCTCGAAGTGGTGGTTGTGTTTGCCATGTAAGAGTAGTCCAGCCTTGTGTGCGCTGATTTCGCCTTCTTCCGGCGGGGAGAGGAGCGGAGTGAGAGGCCGTGAGGCTCGTTCGAGCGGATGAGCCGTTCCACGTCAAGCGGGGAAGAATCGAGCGCGGAACTTCAGCAACAGATTTTTGTGGCGCCATAATGAGTATTTTCGAGGTGATGACGTTTCGGAAGAGTAGCAGTCTACATCAAGGAACCTGTCGAATGATGGCCCAGGATTCTTCCAAGGCACTTTCCGGACTGCGATGACTAAGCACAGAGTCTCAGACACAATCAGGGCTGCGCTTGAGAGCTGAAGACCAGCAAAAGTTTAATTGCGGTATATCTAGAATATATTACATCAAAGAGTCGGGGCTGGAAGCCTTCTGTGAGGTGAATATCATTTGGAGACAAGATATACAGTTGGATAACAAGTGCCCCAGGTTGAGCGACCGATTCGAGGAACGAAGCACCCGTCAGGAATTATTTCTTACATTAATGTGTAGTGTCTATTGGAGAAACATGCACGCAGAATGCGCTTGGGACGCATGAATTCTATAGCTGGAACAATTCCCTAAGCTGCTTCAAACAGTCCTCAGGGTCCTTCACGGAGTGCCCAATGGTCCGGGCGTCGTCGTAGATTTCAAAGTCGTTACCGCCAGGAAATGTCTTATCGCCGAAGAAGTGGATAGTCTTATAATCAATGCCTGAGATCTCTCTCTCGGCCTCGACGTGTCTCAGACAGTAAGTCTTGTCCCAGCCGGTAGGGAAAACATCGAAGGATATTTGGCCTCCAATGGAGTAGCTATTGCGAATGACATGTTAGCGTACCCATCCCATAAGATGCCTGGACGGTAGCTTACCTGAGTCCATAGTCGGGGAATTCTTTCTTCAGAGCTTCTACGAAGGGTCCACGGATATTGTGCACTCGGTCATACCTGCAGCCACAGTCAGAACCTGGTTCCAGCACAACAGTCCAAGCAAGCATACTCTTGAAAGTCGTTCCGCTCCTCGACAGAAGCATTTCTACCAATGGGGCTGACGTTGATCATTCCATTTCGGAACTCAATGAAAGTACCACGCTTCTTCGGGATCTCCAGGTCCGCGATGTACCTGAGGATAAAGTTTACCAGCTTCTGGTACCTTTCCTCTCCTATCCATTCAATGAAGCTGTTACCAGTAAGGGGCTTTCCCAAGCGGTATGCGGTCAAACCGTTCTCGGCGAAGCAGAAGTCAAAGAGGGAGGTGACGTTCACGCTCGAGGAACCGAGTTGTTCTTGCTGTTTGGAGAAGTCGGATCCGCCAACCTAGACTGCGTAAGACCGATGCCTCCAATAAGGGATTCAGAGGACTAACAGAGCCGATAGCGCACTTCTGTCGCAGTTGCGAGAGCACCTGGAGCATCTCATTTGTGGCGTGCTAGAGATCAACGGCATATTAATGTCCAAGCCAATAATATATGTAGGGCCCAGCATGCGCGCTTACCCTCCTTGCCGGCGTCAATGTGTTGTCGACATCGAAAAGGCAAATCGTGTCTTTTAATGGGCGGTTCTCCAAAGCGGGATAGACCCCGGCGCCTGCAACGGTAGACATAATGCTGATGGTGTTCAGTTAATAAATGATATCCACTAACAAAATATCACAGACCAGGTAGCAAATGAATTGAGAAAGGGAAGCCGTAAATCAATTGAAGACTGAAAGGGGCAATCGTTACAAGTGCAGGAAAGAGTGGTGCCTGACCGCTTGCGGTTAGAGAGGGGCAGTGGGGGCCTAGAAAAACAAACAGGCCCCTAAATTTGCTAAAATCCGAGCCTAGATCAGCGTGGGCCTATCGATAAGACGTTTCCTGGTCCAAGCTTGTTGTATAGCTAACATGATGTGTATACGAACTGAAAAAGACTTTACTGTGAGCAATTCTGGGTCATCCAAAGTTCCAAACAGTTATAGATCATAGCACTAACGTATCAAGATTGAATTACGGGACAGAGCAGAAAATGGTAACGAGGGATCAAGGAATCTCACTGCCCCATAGTGTGCTGGAAAACTTTGGCTGCCAGTTGGCTCAGCAGCCGCGCGCGGTCGGTCGCAGGTAGCTCCAAGAAAACTTCATAGACACTTCTGCCACGGGCATCTCGGACAGCTCCTAGGCGGTTCCCAGCGACTGCACCAGCTATGGCACCAGGAGCATTCGCCATGATGAAGCCAAGGGCACCGCCGCTGGCACCCCCGACAATTGACCAGAAATGCCCTTTTGCTCCTTGTGATTCAGCACCATCCATTCCTTCCTCCCGGAGCATCTCCTCGAATACCGACCCGAACTGCTCGTTTGATCTTTCTTCACGATCTGCAGATCCGAACCCAAACGATGACCAGAAACCGCCATCACCACCGGGTAATCCCTCATCTTCGTCCATTTCTTGTTCAAGGTTCCTTCTCGCATCGTATTCTCGTCGGCGGGAATTATCGGAGAGGGTGTAGTATGCATCGTTGATCTCCTGGAACTTGCGTGTTCGCGCTGCCTTCTCAGGTGATCCTTCTGGTACACGGTCGGGGTGGGACTTCAGGGATTCCCTGCGCATATCAGCATCCTATCTCAAACAGGTGTGTGGGTATGTGCACCTCTTGTATGCAGTGCGAATCTCTCGCTGGCTGGCGGTCGGGGCAACGCCTAGTACTTTATCTATTCAAAGGGTAAGTAGCTACTTTTCTCAGTGTAGTTCATTGGCCTTACAGAAATCAGGAAGTTCTGTTCGCCGGAAGTCAGCGACCGTCCCACATAAGTAGATCCATGTGGAACTTACTCGGCATCTTGTTGTATTGTTTAGTCAATAGGACGAAGAGAAAGAGAAAGACAGACGGAAACGAATGCTGGAGGGTAGGCAGCCGGGACGGGATGACGTATGGGTACGGTAGGTTCGTAAATTCGTATGGGCGGAACCGCCGATCCAAGTTCTGAGAGCTAGGTTAACCATAGATAGCGGCTCAGATTTAACACGTCTGGTCTATGTCCAGTCTACTCAGTAGTGATACTACAAGAAAATCCCTGAGTGATGGGCCAGGAATAGAGACCCCCCCCAGGAATAGGTAGAGTGTTTGAACCTCAAGATAATCACATGACTATCTATGCATTGAAACACTGCTGCCTGAGGCTTCGAATGCTGCTCTCAGTAAACCCCTGAGGATTACCACCAATCACCAGCCAGAATGAGCAGAACTAAAGCTGCCAGCCACCGACTTTGTCGCAGGTTGCAGCTGGGGCTCCCTCGGTCTCGCCAAACGATGGATGTTGGATTTCTCCTCGAGGCCGGCCAGAGTTTCTCTCACCTCCTGCATCGCACTTCCTAACGATTCTCCACGGTGGGTGGATATTTGACCCTCCAACTTACCCATCACAGTAGTAGGTACCTGTTCCATGCTCTAGGTATGTTCCTCTGTCCGGGTGTTTCTTCAACTGTTGCTGAATGCTGATCTCTTTGAAAGAGAAGGGGTGGGGACAATAATCAATGCAGCACGGAGCCTAAGACTGTGTCGTGCAGAAAGAACCCCGCAACTGCTCTATGTATGATTGCTTGCACAGGTTGGTGCTTGAGAAAACAAACATCAATACCTACAAACTCATCGCAATATTGGAGAAGTTGATTGATCTGAAGAGAGAGAAACCAGAACGACAGTGAAGCAATCAATTGACCATTGTTGAGCATATCAACCCCCGAAATTGAAAACCAACAACAACCAAATCACCATCTCACCACTGAACCCTTTAAGCGAGATCAAGATGGGCTGGTTCGACGGCCGGTCCTCGGTTTCGACTTCAGGTGGCTATGTCCGGAAGCGCTCAGATCGATCACCCTCTCGCCGGTCCACCTCTGGCTATTCCACCCACCACAGTCGTCATTCTGCCCCATCAATCTTTGATTTCGGCAGCACCCGCGGACGCTCAAGCCCATCCGTGTACTCTACCTCATCACGAAGGGCCCGTCCTCGTTCCGGGTTCATCCAACGTGTGATCCGCTACATCAGGCGCTTGTTCCGTGATATCACCAACTATGCGAAGCGTCACCCGATGAAGGTTTTCATGCTGGTAATCGTTCCCTTGATTACGAGCGGCGTGCTTGTCAAGCTCTTCTCTATGATTGGGATCCATCTGCCGAAACACATCTTTGGAGGAGGCTCTTCTTCGCGCTCTGGTGGTGAGGGGGGCGGTATGGCTAGCAATATCAATGGGCTGATGAACATCGCGAAGATGCTGATGTAGGCATCATGCGGTCCTATATACCTTGTTCTATATCCGAGGATGATTAGAAGGGGTCGCGGATGACGAAGCACTCATTTAACGAAGGTCATGATCATGACTCATGGACAACGATGAATACTCTTACTTTCAGTCTCTCATTAGCATCTGACGATCTCGGGATCTACTATCGTGTTGAATAAAAGCCGGAAGGTTAGTTGCAATTCATTTTACTCAATAATATGATCTAATCTACATATTGCTCTTCTTGAAATCATATGACTGTACATTCCCAGGGCGCTGGCGTCAGATTGAGTATTTCTATGTACCAAGAATAATGTCCACCAGAGCAATGTAGTTTCTTTTAAGAACGTTGCGAGCGTTTGCCTCTTCGCTGAGAAGCCGCGCCCCTTGAAGATACAGCCGAGCTAGCTTGGTCCGACTGCTCTGGAGTATCGACTTGCTCGTCATCTGACACAGCCACGGTACTAGACGTTCCAAGTACTTGGCCAATGATCTTGCGATACACCCACCCAGGCAGCTTGAAGATCATAGTATCACGCAAGGTCGGGCGCTGGATCTCTTCAAGGTCGAGCAAGAATTCCTGGCGCTCACCATCCTCTGACTCCTCCTCCAGGAACACATTCCCAACTGAATCGACAATGAGCACTTTTCCGTTTTCAGCAACGACTCTCTTTCTCTCCCCTGCTGGCTCAACAGTCTCGCTTGTCGGAGTAGCAGTTCCGCTCCTTCGCGAACCTGCTCTTGAACCTCCCTTCTTCTCCTTGCGGTTTTCGCGGTCCATCATCCGTTTTTGGCGACGGTTCATAGGCATGGCACCAGCATCGCCAGCGTCCGGAGCCGGAACAGAGGCCGGAGAAGGCGCGGCGCCGATGCCACGAACACCCAGCTCATCACCCCATGCAGCTCTCCTAGCCTGGCGGATGTACCGGTCTACAAAGTCACGTTGACGCTTCCAGCTGAGAATAAGAGCAGCATAATGAGCGCCACCGCCGAAGACCAGGAGCAGTCCAAGGAGGACAGACCCGAGACCGGGACGAAACCGCGAGTAATAGTACCCCGTGCCCTTCCATTTGGGGAAGCCGTTCTTCAAAAAGTAGTCGTAGCGCTCACGACCCGGACCACGGAGGATGTTCGCGACGATGTTCAGGCGCTGGGCGCGCTCGTGGGCCTCCTTGACGGCGGCATCAATTTCTCGCTTGGTAGGACCGCGGTTGACGTGTACGCCTTTCTGGCTGCTCTTGGATTTGCTCTTGTCTTTCGAGCTGTTCGCGATGAATGTGCGCTTGACTTTGTCGGGGTGGAGCAGTTTTGACATCTTACGGTAGGCCTTGTTGAGCTCATCCTGATTGGCGTTTGTTCGGACCCCTAGAAAGTCTGGAAGTCCTAGTCAGTATACAGTTTGTATCACGGGCTGAGAGACGTCTAGGTATATACCGTAGAATGTCACATTTACGCCTTCTGCTGCGGTAAATTCATCTTGGAGACGGAAGATCTCATAATCTGGAAAATGTAAGTCAACAAGCATCTTCTACCAATTGGCGTGGAACCAACCTTGTTTCGTCCAAGCTGCAGCGAGAACGAAGAGAACTGCAAACAGCATCAAACGGAGCGCTGCTGTCTTCATCATGGATAAATTTCGCGGGAGCGATTAAGCTCCAAAAACCGAGAAATGAGACAAAGACAAAAGCAACTTGCGAAAATAAGTAGGAGACGAATAGAGCCAAGATATCATTCCATAAACATCCCTGGTGTTGTTGCAATGTCTCTAGACTCCGGTCAAGAACATTTCGATATTCTGGCCAGTTAAGCAAATAGGAAGGCGGTGAGGTCTGTCCGCACCTGCAGTGTTACGGTACGGTAGGGCCGATAACCGCTGTCCAGAACCTTGGAACAACTGCATATTCACTATCTGATGGACATTTACCCCAGTGCGCTCAGACAAATGTCTCTCGAAAACATGCTTTGATACTGGCAATTTGCAGGCTGACTCTCGCTTATTTACTCCAGCGATGACTCTTTGGTCTTGCAGTGGTCAACTGTTGGATGGATTATACTGCAGCTCGTGAAACTTTGCTGGGCAGATCAACTAGACTGCTATGTCGGTAAGCCGTGCCAACCATGAGCTGCGATATACGGTATACCATGCTCCAAGCAATTGGAAAGTCATACACCTCCTAGTCCTAGCCCGCGCATGACCAAGATCTAGTTAGTTAATACTAAAGTACTGCAAATGAAATACAGTCAGAAAACAGAAAGAGGTGTATTCAAGTAATCTAATTACCAGTCATGCATCGTAAATGGTTACCGTACTCCAAGTCCAAGGTATCAAAATGTATCATCCCGCGATGCAACAACTGTTAAAAAGAATAAAAAGGCCTCAAAAACTCAAACTAAACGTGCGCCCCGCGGTAGTAGTTCGTGTTCCCATTGGCGTTCGGCCCGGCTGAATCCTGCGTCAGTGGCTCTTCGTACACCATCTCGGGTTGATCCGAGTCGGTGGCTGAATCCATGCGCTTCTCGCCTTGAGGTACATGGTTCCGTGTACGAACGGACGGTAGCAGATCGACAACAAAGGAGAGAACGTAGAATGTAAAGACCAGAGCGATCACTGCAGTATCCACTGTTAGCAGAGAACCTTGACTAAGATAAAAAGCGTACATACCCCATTCAAGGATGGCAGCTGTGTTCCTGTGGTGCGGTCTATGCCAGCCGCAGACACCAAAGCCAATAGCCAAAGCGACCTCCACCACCACGAAGAAAGCCTTTATTATAAAACTAGCCAAGAGCACACGGTGCTGGGAACGGTAGAAAATGCCAATGCGGAGGTACTCGATGCAGATGAGAATAGCGCTGACAAGATATGCGACGCTATTCGAACACTTGGTCAGCCCAGTCCGATGGCACACAGTATCGGCAGTGCAAGGCGCAGAAACTTACAGGAACAGGGCCAGGAAACCGTCATGTAGATGCGGATGCCGTAGAGTATCAAACACGGACAGCAGTATTAAACCCAAGGCCCCCGCAATACTAAAGAATATAGACGCGATAGCGCAGAATTTGTCAAAACGCCCCTTGTTCCGAACCAGCTGCCCAGAATGCCGCAGCCATCGCTCCGAGATGAATGAGAGATCGAGGAAGACGACTGTGATGACGCTGCCAGTAATAAACAATGGCTTCAAGCCCTGTGCGCCCACTGTGTTTTTTTAAAGCACCTGCATCAGCTTCTCCCTTTGTATAAGCTGCTTGTTGCGCCACGTACCGTCAGATATATACCTAAGATCCCATTAGACATTTCCTTCCTACTGCGTACTTGGGGTTACTCACGCGATTGTCTGTCCTTGCTCCATACTCGAGTAGATAGGCTGGCCTTGGACGCACCATGTCCCTAGCATTGCGGCGAGCATGGCTATCCACATGCACGCCGAAATGACAGGGAAGACCCAGAAAGAGATAATCCACATTTTTGTCTTGTACTGGCACTGCGCCTACCACCTGCGATTGCGCGCGTCGGATTGGGGAGATTGATGTATAGTAAAGTGGAAATCCCAAGGAGATACCGAAAGCATTCAAGGAGGTATAGCATCATATAAGAATCAGTCGACTTTATCGCGGCATTACGTAGGTAGTGAATATAAATGTGGAGCCACTAGGTCACAATTCTATAAAAACAATTTGGGAAATTGGGAACCATCGGATGCGGCGGATGTGGCTGCAGGTGGCTCTGGACACTGGACAGTGGCCACGTACGGAGTAGGGATCGAGCCCCGGAGAAATTCCTCGATGATCCTGAGAGCAGCTCTCTTGGCAAATAATCAACTGCCCTGAATCAGCGATTATTGAATGATTCGAGTGAAGGCGCAGCATGACTTCAGTTCCGCCTTGGGGGGATACGTCATGCTGCGGCTTAGCGGGTCACTGGGGTAGCATGAAGCCGGACTTCATCTTAACTCCGCTGTCAAGACTTCACATTATTCTGGAGCCTAGACCCTTGACACCCCTTGGAGACCTCTAGATAAGTGCGCCTGTGCTGTGTTTCTATTTCAATGGATATTCTCAAGTCATCCCATTACCTATCTTGGCCTGCATATAATCAAGATCCACTCGCTTCCGGTATTCATGCTACGGACATACTCCACAAAATCCATAAGGTGCAGAATGACAGCATGGACAAGGTTCGGAGATGTCTATTATGGATCATGTCCATGTCATGTACCATGGCCGTTCTAATGAAACACGTGGTTCTTGATCATTTGCAGGCCAGAGGGCGTATGTTCAGATTAAGTTGGGTTGAAATAAAGTTAATACCTTCGATTTAAACTCCATGCTTTGCGAGGTTATAATCATAAACAAGAAGAATCTAGTCAGAATAAGAAGGAGCACAGAGCTGGGTCCTCAAGGTCGGCTCGGGCGTTGGCGACTGCCTGCCCCAAGGATACGAGAAGGAGAACTGGGTATCTTGTGTTCGATGACCTCCACCATTGGAATCTCGTCGGCACTATTGGCTGGGCTTCGTTTACGTGGACTGTTTTCACCGCTGTCGCTCTCTCTGCTGATAACAGACTTAGCTGCCAATGCTGCAAGGTCGGATGAAACATGCAAGGCGTGCGGCGGAACGTTGTTATACGGCCTCTGCACGAGACGTGTCAGAGGTCCACGTTGAGGTTCAACAGGACTGTGCAGGTCTTGGCCAATATCTCGCGAGTACGTCGCTTGATACGGAGGTATCCGCTGATACTCATCTGGATGGGTACGAGGTACTGCGGGGGGCGCAAGGAACACCGACGGGCGACTCAAAGAACCGGCGAAAGGAGGTTGAAGGGGCGATCGAAGCGTAGTCGTTGACGACTGCGGACTGACAGAGGCGCTCGTTGTCCCAGCCCGAGCACCATAGACATTGGTATCTAAAGGATATGGCGCCGAAGGTGCAACATCGGCTCCGCTTCCAAGCACCTGGAGATGTTGACTCTCGACTGATTCTGAAGCTGCCTGTAATCGCCTGCGCTCCAGTGCATCGAGCTCCCGTTTGGAAAATGTAACGTTCTTGTGCCCTTCAGAATGAGCACGTCGAATCCGCTCCAGCGCCCTCTCCACCAGCCAGTCTTCATTGTCCTTCATCGCCAGCTCGACAGCATATGCAACGGTACTATTCGTGTCCTCATACATGTCGTAGTCAACGCCGTCAAACGGTGCCGACCCGTTGTCGTGTTCCATTACAGATCTCCGCCGTTTGCCCCCCTCATCCCGTGAGCCAGGCGATGATTGTCTTCTGTACAGTCGATCGTTCCGCAAACCAGTTTGATTTTCCGTTCCACTATCCAACTCCTTCCCTCGTATAGCGCTATCCACCCACTGCACACCCCGCCTTCCGCCCTGTCTCCCCAGATGTGCCCCTGGTGGTCTTCCCTTTAGGGGCATACCATAAGGAGCTCGCGGCCGACCACCTAGACCGCCTCCTCGGAAAAAGCATTCTCGATAGGCTTATCCATAAAGGCGGCATGACCAAACACGGTCACACCAGTGGCTCCGACGAGCCAAAAGAACGTGTAAATGGGGGAAGCCCAGAAGGTCAGAGGCACCGCGACAAGTAGTAAACCGGTGTAGAGCTGGGAGGTGTTAAAACGGGCAAAGCCAAGATCAAGATCACGACCATCGAGCTTCCCAATTCCCCAAAGACTGCCAGTAACCAAGACTATGACGAAGAGTAGCATCGGGTTGGTCAAAAGACTGTAGATACTGAGCAGCACAAAGATGGCGGCATAGTTGCTCGAGAAGTAGGATAGATTGTAGTTGACTCGGCTCTGGGTTTCGCCGAAGTTGGCAGGCTTCGAGATCCGCTTGAAGTCTAGAAATTCGGAGATGGGACGAAGGTTGGCGAACCGCGATCCCAACGACTGGGAGCGAAGGCTGTTGAACCGGTCTCCGAATCGCGAGGTGATCGCGTCGATGGGGATTTGAATCGAGCTCATTGTAGATTGCACAGAGTTTGATGTGTTAAGTGATGGAACGAAGGAAATATGATGTCTGTAAAGTGGATGAAGAGAAGTTGATAGGAACTCTAGAAAGTGTGTGTCAATGGAGCTGGAGGAAAAGGGGAAGCTGAAATATTGTTGTCAACCTGGCAGGAACGAAAAGCGTTAGCCTCGCCGGGCCAGCTCGTGTCTTACCTACTACCGAGGCCCAGCCACCACAACCTCAAAGGTATCCGTAACTTCCAGTTGAAACAATAGGTTGGTTAACAAAGACACGTATTTATGGGTATCCATTGAGGCTTGATCTTTGCTTGCGGCGTTTATGTCCATATGGCGATGTAGGTAACGACCGGAATGGGCGAGGTTTTTGCTGAGCGCGGAACCTGCTTCAACGCCAAGGGTTCAAGAATCCGCAGGTTGCATCGAGGTCCCTCGCCCTCAGAGACTCAAACTGAGAGGGTATTCACTCTTCTTTGCTAATAGATTTCCCTTATCCATATCCATTTCTGATTGTGGAAAATAAGCTGGGCAAGCGTGGTGACGGATCCAGGATTTAAAGACCAGGCACGAGCCCAGCCCCAAAACATCTATAATTCGCTTTATTATTGATGACCTCCGAGGTTTTGGATCAACCCTTGTAGTCTGCCCACGTCATCTAGAAGGTGGATGCCATGTATCAGGTATCCTTACAGGGGCAGTGCCTGATGCCCTGTATAATGCCGGACGCCCATCATATACTCCAAGTGGGCGTGTGTAGAATACTCCAGGGTTGTCGTTGGCCAGTCGGCAGTCATCGATGCCGTCACTGCGATGCAATGCAAGGTTTCAGCAGCTGAGAGGTAACCCTACGAACATGAGTCGGTTGGCTCCTAACCACAGGCAATCATGCCATGGCGTATCAAGTCCCTTTGCCGACTGCCACTACGCTTCCGCCACGCTCTACACTCTCGGCATGCGTATAATCAAAACCCGCCCCCCGTTGATCTAGACGTATTGCATTGTATGGCAAGGCCATCAGTGTAGCTACTAAGACAAATTGCATTATAATTGATAGCCAGAAGCAAACTGTCTCAATAGCCACCTTATATGTCCATGGTCCTTGGCGTCGCTACCATGACAGCAACATCTCGATGATATGCCAGCCAAAAAAGTATGTAGTAGTCGGTATAAGATAAAGCAACAGTATCCAAGCTTCAAGCCAAAAATCGCCTCTTCACGCTCTCAATAATTCCCTCTTCAACACCTACTGACTCCGAATACTTCCTGACACCCCCATACCTTTTAGTTAGAAATTCCGTAACCCGTTGAGTAAAGTCCTTAGGACACCTGGCGTACTCCTCATCCAGCCCTAACGCTCTTATCTCCCTCATCCTCTCCTCCTTCTCCTCGGTCGGTTCATTCTCTAGTTCCTCCTCGGAGAGCACGTACTCGCTCGCCATGGTTTCAGCATCAACGGCATCGGTTAATAGGAGTAAGAGGAGGATTATCAGCCCTGTTCGGTCTTTCCCTTGCGTGCAATGGATTAGCACTCCAGTCGCAGACGTAGACGAGTCGGTAACGGTGTTTGCGGCCATGTCCGCTTTTACAGACGCAAGAATATCAAATATCTGCTTTATCTCCGCCGTGCTCGCTTCAAGTGTAGTCATCGCCAACCCCGTCAACCCTACAGGCTTCATGACGTTCTCGCCAACGATGCGGACAGCATCGTGTCTGTATCCTGCTGCTATGTATGCAAGGACCTTCCTGCTGACATTTAGCAACCTAAGCACGGACAGTAAGAAGACTGAGCAAGTACGTACGTGAAGTTCCACCAGTCCAACCGCCACAAGAGATGACGCTCAAACGCCTTTCCCGTGAGACTTATCAGATGACGCTGGATATCTGTGCTGTCGAGGGGGCGCAGATGGATGTATCCTTCTCCGGTTTGGGGTTGAGAATCAACAGACTCCGTAGGGAGATTGTGGGCGCGCTTGTATTTCTTTACGGCCATTTGGTGTTCTGTTCTGAGGAGTTTCAGTATACAGTCATGGACTACGGGGTAGGGCAGGCGATAGTGAGCACGTACGTAGAGCGCAAATCGACGATAGTTGAAACACGCAAGTCGCTGGTCAAGCGGCGGATATCTTCTTCGGATGCTTCATCGAGCTGGTTTTCATGTCTGCCTATCAGCATTTGGAGTCTACTGTTGCTCCAGCGACTACATGGTGCAGAGACAGATAAACGGTTCATACCCGGGCACTGCGGTAGAGAGCGCCTTCTCTTAGTATTCTAACATTGTAAGCACGTGAGCTTTATAGACGAGAAGGTTGTATTTATAGAGCATACTTTCGGCCTGCAAGCTTGTTGATGGTGCGGCCGACATCGCGGAAATTGACGATGCTGTCGAAGGGGCGGTCGGGGTTGAGACCGCTCATGACAGTGGTTATAGTAGGGAAAGCAAGTAAAAACTGCCAAGGTGAGGCTATATATGCAATGTCTACTCTGTCGATGGCCTTTGTAAAGATACGGGTATGGAGGAACGATGAGTTACCTAGGAGGTGACCCACCGTCTTTCAGCCGAGTGGAGCACAGCGATCTTTAAGTTCTTAACCAGTCCTAGTCCCCTGGAAGCTGGTCTCAATTATTGATTTGTTATTTGACTTGAAGTCACTTGATACTACCAGGAGCGCCAAGTTGGTAATTGCCCTTGCCCTAGAGGCATATTTGGCCGATCATCGCGAGGAAGACGGCGTACCTAGGTACCGGTACCTAGATGACTTTTGCACAGTACGCAACATACCAGATTCGCTGTTTGCCGGCAACGACACCGCATCAAGCAGTATTGTATACGTATACCACAAGCTCGCAAAACACCCCGAAGCACTAGGCCAAGTGCGACAAGAGCACGATCGAATCTTCGGGACCGATACCTGCGCTGCAGCACAACTCCTAAAGTCCAGCCCGGTCCTCCTGAACCTGTGTCCATGCACACTGGCCGTGATTAAAGGAACCCTACGCCTGTTCCCCCCCGGCCTCAGCGAGCCGCGAAGGGCGCGACGGCGTCACCCTTACCGACAGCCATGGCAATGTCTACCCCACCATCCACAAACACCCGCGACTATGGCCACGGCCCCAAGAGTTCCTTCCAGAGCGCTGGCTGGTTGAGGCTGGGCACGAGCTTCATCTGAACCCGGCTGCATGGCGCCCGTTTGAGCAAGGACCGCGGAATTGCATCGGGCAAACTCTGGCCTATAATGAGATGCGGATAGTCCTGGTGATGATGGCGACGACGTTCGATATCAATCCCGCGTATGAAGAGTGGGATGCAATACAGGCTGCCAACGAAGGCCTTTTACCAAAACTTGCCAGATCGGTAAGGCTTGATGGTAATCAAATCAAGACGGTACACGGAAAGAGGGCCTATCAGACTGACAAGGCTGGAACACATCCGGCCGATGGGTATCCATGTCGCGTGTCGCTGTGCACTAGCGCTGATCCTCGATAGACCTGATTAGACAGAACGTCGAGTCTCTTGGCCGAACCCCGACCAAATAGTTATGGGAGACTACTACAGCGGCACGAACAATACCTCAAGAACCGTGCGGATGCTAGCAAAACACCTTTGTTGATACGTTGTTAGAACAGTGTCTTGGCCGGGGAAAGCTCTCGTGGTGATGGCGGTTTGCAAGGGTGAGTTCAACCTCCCCTCTCTCCTCAACCACCACCACCCTTTCTCATCGAAATCCATACAGTCCATCCTCCCGCAGAAAAAAAACATACAACAGCTGGGATTCGCATGTGGTCACCCACCATACTACTAACCAGCCGGCGTGTGGTTTAAGTACGGCTGAGCGGACGGGAAGCCCTGTTCTCCACACCCTGTGGTCGTATGTGCTAAGATATTGTAAGAGAGACCTGATATGGGACGTTTTCTTAAGCTGATGCTATGAAGAGGTGGTAGGAGGCTGGGAAACCAGGGCATCAAAGCCAGACGTTGTTCATTAATGCACGCCTCCCAGTGTGATCTCTGCCATCTCACGACTTCGGTTGGGGATTTAGTAGAGTCACTGACGGTGGATTGGTGGATATTGAGGGTCTGGAGCATGGCAACGCATTTGCGAAGTATGTTGATACTGCGGTCATACTGCCTGAGATAGGGATACCAGCAAGAATTCATTATTCATTGGTCAGCTAAGCATGAAGGATCACCACAGCCAGTTTAACTACTGCTCCAGAGCCATGCAGACAACCATGTACATCAACTCAATGCCCCCTAGAACGTCAGGATAACCAGAACATCATAGGTTTGCTCTAACCCAAGCCCACCCAGCATTACCAACCCCCACAGCTAACCCCCCAACCTGTGCAGCTCCGTTGAGCACAGCGAGACCCGCCCCTCCAGCCCCGGCACTCTGCAGCACGGCAAACAAAGATCCGGCGACGACATTGCCAAGTACGCTATGTGCACCGGCGGCAAGGGAGCCTATATGCCACGTAAAGGCGTCAGGAGTCAGTACAAGTAGAAAGACAGGACACGAACCAGCCTGCACTCCCCCAGCAGTGAACCCAATAGCTGAAAGCGGCAGAGTAACCACGATTCCCGGGGCAACAGCAACGGTAAGCCCGGCTGCAATTGAGCCTGCTGAGACCGGGTTCTTAGATGCCCATTCGGCCGCCTATATATGCATCCAAATCAGATAGTGGTGGTGAGACTTGCGACTCGGCTCAAGCCAGGGTGGAAAGCATTAATATACCTGAGCAGCTAGACCCGTTGAGCTCTCCATAATGGGCTTGCCGTATGTTACTGCAAGCTTAGAACCCTCGAAAACAGCTGCTTGCGCAATCTTGGTTCCGTCGGAGATAAGTTGCGCAGAAACATTGAGGGTGGACATTGGGCTGATCTGGGCCTTTTATTAAGATGTAGGTACTCTCCTCTGTGGTGGCATTCAGACTTAAGGAAGAAGTGTCAAGAAAGCAATGAGATAGCGTAAGAGGTTTTAGTGGTGGATGGGTGAAGAGAAATAATCGATGAGTAGAGGGTGGGAGTGTTATGGTGGCTGAGTGAGCAAACCAACAGACAACCAACGCCCCAACTGCCGCAGCCTTCCAGCCAACCAATACACAGCCCCGAATAAACCGGCGTGTACCTGTATCTGCTGTTGGAACCAATGCATCAGAGTTAATTGGAGTGGGATTGTTGAATGACCAGTGCCAAGCATACGGTATGGGACTGAGTGAATGTCCAGCTATCATTGTGCGAACCATAGAAGATAAATGTACATTACTCAACAAAATATCTTTGGTGGTTAGCAGCGACTACTAAGCAGATAAGTTTCAGATAGTATTAGACACAAGTATAGTCACGATTAAATCAACATACATGATATGGCAACGGGTGACCGCTATCCAAGCCCTAAGTGGGCGCCTGTTCTCAACGAATGACATGACTCCATCAGAACATACATAAACCAGCAAAATAAGGAAATACAACTGATGTATGGCGGAAATAAGTAACAGATAATTACTATAAGTCTTCAGAGAAACGCGACTCCCGAACTGCACTGTTGACACTGGCCCGCCGTTTATTAACAACGTCTCCCATGGAGGGAGGAGCGGGCAGTGGCTCCGCAGAACGATCTTCCTCTTCCTCTTCCTCTTTCACTTTCTCAATTGACGGGGCAGGCGGTTCGTGAATAGAATCCCCCTTCTTCGGTTGCTGTTTGCTATTTTCGGAGACCTCTTTCGAATCTCCTTCTGTAGTGAGAGACTCACTAGGCGTCTTCCACGTATCGTCAGAGGCGCTCTCAGCTCGACGGTTAAGATCCTCGGCCGTGACAGGGTTTGACCTCAAAGGTGCTGCTCGCGGCTGATCTTGATCGCTTTCGGTTTCCTCAGCCCGCTGTACCTGTGTTCCGGCGGTCGCTGGTCGGCTCGTATCTGGCTCCTGGGGAGCCTTGGTGCGTTCAGGCTCTTCAATCTCATTATCAGTGGGACCAGAAATACTCGATGCAAGCTCCTGCGTTCCGTTTGTCTCCTTCGAGGGTCCACTGGAGCGTCGACCTAATTTGTCTTTGAACCAGTTTTTGAACTTCGACTCCCGTCTTAGGACACTGTCCTCTGAGGCTGTCTCTTCAAGTTGAGGCTGAGTGACTTCCGCAGGGACAACAGCTCCGTCGGCTCGCTGTTCTGTAGTTTGCTCAGTAGTTGCCTCAACCCCATACTCTGGAGTCAGTTGCTTCGATTTTCGTTTCCACGGCCAGGCCTTCTCCTCTTTGGTCTTTTGATCCTGCTTTAACAGCTCTATTGAGATTAGATCGAGCCTCAAGAGCAATAATAAGGACTTACCTTCGTGACGTTCTTGCTCGGCACGTATATCAGCTTCACGCTCACGCTCGATCGCCGCAAGACGCTGCCTTCGCTCCTCATCAAGGCGTGCCTCCAAGTCCCGAGCCCTTTGAGTCTCCGCCATATCGTTGATTTCATCAAGAGTAGGCTGAAGCCGAGAGCGGGCCAAGTCTTCTACCTCAGACATCTCCACGTACCTACGCCCGCCGATGTTAACTTTATTTGCGAGCATGTACTGCGCGTCAATGTCCTGGATTCCCTTTTGGGCACGCTCGGCTGCCTTTTCGTCTAGATATTTCTGCAACGCGACAGATTGGTCGGCTTCACCACTATAGAGACGCTTGTCCATGTCCTGGATTGCAGCGTCAACGTTCTTCCTCGCGAGCTCTAGCAGTGAAGCACGATCATTTTCCCTCTTCTCATTTCTCTTCTCATCGACCGCATTGAGTTTGGATCGAAGCGTCGACATTTGAGTTCGAATTTCCTTAGACTTTTCCTGGTCGAACTGCTCCGTTTCGTTAGAGCCCCTGCGTCGGCGAATGATGAGACTTGATCGCGTTACTTGCGGTTCAACTCCATAATAGCTTCGATACGCCGCGGCTTCGTCCTCCAAGCCCGCCAGCTTCTCAGCGGCTCGTTTCTCGGCAACATCCTGCAAGTTTATCGCCTGGCTCAGCATCAATGTGCTTGCCTGCTGTAGAGTCGCAGATTCTCGCTGAGAGACCGAGCCAGATCGCCGAGAGCGAGTAGTAGAACTCCTCTGAAGACCGCTTTCCTTAGCCTCCATAGCCCCATACATATCTCTTGCCATGGACAGGGAAGCTGCCTCCAATATACTCTTTCGCCGATGTTCTTCCAATTCCGGGGCCACGGGCGGTGTTGCAGTAAAGAGCTTTCGATTGAGATGGGCATTCTGTATCCTGCTCGCTCTCATGGATCTATCCAGATCCTCAAAAGGATCGCTCGCTCCTTCTGTCGCCACTATACTCGCTCTAGCACTTGCACTCGCACGCGCAGCTTCAGATGGCGCAGATTCGGCCCTCTTCCTGTTATAGGTTGCTACCGGCTTCTGATCCTTGATAGCGTACATCGCCGCTTGATACGGATAACCCTCTTGTATTGGCGACTCGGTTCTCCGACGATCGGCGGCTCGAGATACTGATGCGGTGTGTCTGGTTCCCGGCTCCTGCTTCTTTGCATGTGCGATTAGCGCGGCTGCAGCTGATGCATCACTGAGTCGAATGCCAAACCCGGCCGCTTTCGAAGCTAGAGCACGAGACTACATCAGCTTCCATTCATTCATTGGCGAGAACATGTACAGGTTAATTGGGTTGCCTACTGGCTGGGTCGGATTCCGAGGGTGGTTGACGGAGCGAGAGGCTCCGTTCTGGATGAGTAACATAAAGCGCGGCTGTTGCAGCTGTATATCAGGACATATGTTAGCCACGGGATTATAGCATAGATAGGAATAGCGACTATACATACCCTGATCCGCTAGCCGGGCGGAGCGGGAGCGCGGGATCCGCTGCTGAACGAGGTTCTGCTCGATAGTTGCCATGATACGACCAAGTGAGTCGCAGCAGGGATAGTCATGCCTATCAAGACCAGAAAAGCGGACAACGATAGGATTAAGAAGGAGAGGGGCGACCGTAGGGCGGAAGGTGGATGAGCGAAATCAAAGAGGTGCAAGCAGGTCGGGGATCAGTGACGTAGTGCTTTCACAGGGAGGTTGCAGAGCGGCGATCGTCGGATGGACGCAAGATGGGCTAAAATTCGAGTCCAGCGGCTGAACCTTATGCAGCATTAGGGAACTAGTATGGTGAGCCGGTTAGAGATCTCAAGAGTCCAAGTCCCTGATGTCATGAAGCCCTAAGGATGAGGGTGCGATAGCCTATAGGTATGCAGAGGCCGGAGGGCAGCTCTTTGGATCGAGTGGGCTGACGCCCGCATTCCGACACTGGCCGTTTCCGTCATCATCGGCCTTCCAGCCTCTTCTTGGGATTTAAACAGTAGTTCATGATGATACGTGAGCAGTCGATCGGTTCCGGGAATAAACGTGTTCGATGATCGATCGGGATATATAAGCTTATCTTTTACCTAGGTGGGTAATTCGTGCGTGTGTTAGTCAAGATTCCGGTCCACATGGATTAATAAATTGATATAGCGCGGTCATAAAAACAACGTTCCTCCCACATTGATTTGGTTCATAGTATCAGAATATTACCCACTAGCATAAACAAGCAATCGGCAAAAGCCTCTCGTCTTCATCATTGATCCTTCTGTACCCATATACTACCACAACCTCAGCAGCTTCAGGATGTCATACCTCGAGAAGAAAAACCGATTCCACTTCCCGAAGATATCTATTAACGTGAGGTTAGCGGCGACACGTCAACCATGATCGACCAACGAAAACATACACATAGGAATGCTCAATGCACAAATGGCCACCTGGATGCTAGAAATCGCCATGAATGGCTTCTTGACATATGCTTCGACTAGCCAATCATAGGTATAGAATGTCAGCACAAAGCTGAAGATATTCTTGAATATCAACATGCACGTGAAAGCCTCGATCACAATGTTTCCTAATGCGAATTAGCATTGCTTCTTCTTTTTCTTTTGTCGACCCGTGTACTTACGGTGGGCGTCGACGATGTACAAAGCACTGGCGACAGCGCCCATCACCATCCCGCTTACCACACAGCCGAAAAACACATCAGGCGGCAGCCAACCATAGTGTGTGGCGTCATTGGCCGTGATGCCGAAGCCGTACATACCGATGCCGCAGAAGATCAACTGGAAGATCACAAGAAGAATACGAAACTCGGGTTCGTATCTTCCCCTGTTGAGTCTGATCATGATATTGTTCATGAAGTCCGACAATAGCCCTGACAGGACGAGTCCGATCATGGCCCCGATAAAAGCACCTGTGTACATGTATCCGGTTTTGTCCTCTTCAAACCAAAGCGGGCCACTCATGAATATGGCAGCAAGGGTAACGCCGATGAAGACCGTCCATCCGATGATCACACCTTGAATCAAGCAAGCCTGTCAAGTTAGATTGAGCTTTCTCGAGTGGGGATTGACGGCCTTACCCAGAGTACTGCGGGATGGAAGAACAGCGGGAATGGACGCAATAGAAGTTTCCACCAATGCTCGTCGTTTTTTCTCCCATTGAACAGTTTCAAGGTCTGAAGATAAGACGCTTTCTTGGGTGTGCTTTGACTCGGCGTCTCTTGTTCAGCGACATTGAAAGACGATTGCCCATTGCTGGTTGATGACTGCTCAGGCTCTTGCATATTGTTTTCGTTCTGGGCCTTGTGTAGCTCGGTCTGCTGCCCATCTCCCGTTCTGTCATGGTTATCAATCTCCGGATCCAAATAGTTGGGGCGTCTATAGGCTGTCTCCGGTACCAAGAATATCGTGAGGGGTAGGGCTGCCGCTGTGAAGATGGCGAGGAGGTAGAATGTCCAGTTCCAACCCAGGGCTTTTGTGATCTTACCAGCTGCGACAGGTGCTAGGAAAGCAGCCCCGAATACTGCGACATTGGACAAAGCCATTCTTTTGCCGCGTTGGTGCACATAGAATAGGTCATCAACCACAGCGTTTGTTAGGGCTTCGAAAGGAGCTAGAGCGACGCCTTGGAAGACGCGAGCCCATAGAAGACTATGGTAACTCTTTTCACTGCTACCAGCCCATGCACAGCTTGCTATCATCAGTATATGTCCGAGCACAAATAGGTGGCGTTTGCCCCATACTCGTGCAGTCGGCACGATGAGTATGCCCGCAATTCCGGTTCCGCAGAGGTGGTATCCGGTGAGCAGGGCGATGGACATGAAGCTTTTTCGATAGTGTCTCGAAAGAGTGACAGTACCCGCGGCCATGACCGAGCTGGTCGTAGCGCAGAGAACCGCAACGAGGGAGAGGGCAAAAATGGTTAGGTCGCGCTTCCATAACGGCCAGTTCTATGCAACACTTCATTAGTGAACTGGTCCGGGAGATTGCTTGCAACCTCACAGCGTACCAATGGATCATTTGGGTCGTCACTTGGTTGAGGAACAAGAAGTATGTGCTGTGTTTCGGAACGATCGTACTTCAATTTTGCATAGTAGGTAGGCGGTTGGTCCTCCGAGCGCTCCTTCTCAAGGATATCGACAGTACCTGATTGAGTATTGTCAAGTTAGCTCTGAAGGGAAGATAAAGCGTGTCTTCATGAGAGTTTACCTGAAACCTGACGGCCTTTCACATCCATTATGCCTAGACCCATCCTGACAGCCGAGGCCAATTTACTTGGAATCGGCTTAAAGGGAAACTGTCTAGTGCCAGGATCACGTTGGAACCACCTGATACAACGTTTAGCGGAGTTGCAACTCAGCGGGCCAGGCTGCGAGAGTTGGTAGAGAGCGCTATGCCAACACAAGCGGGCCGTGGTCGACGCTGTAGGTTCCGGCGCTCGTGTTGATCAATAAAGAGTAGGAGGGTGGCATGAAGAAGTATGACGCAGCAAAATGCAAGAACGTAAGAACTTGCTCTCGAACCTAACTCCTCGCTAACAAATGTGCTCATGAAACGCGGAGAACGCGGAGAATGGCCATGGTAGAGAAATAGTGATTTGGCTTGTGATCTGAGCCTGATAATTAGAGATCTGGTGAGAAGATATCGAGGTCTTCCGGCCGGGGGCCTCGTTTAAGCCCTCCTCGGGTGTCTGTCTGAATTCAAGGACCTACATCCTAACTTTGTTCCTTTCTTCTAATAGTCTGGGGTTGTTCAGTGCTATGTTAGCAAGCCACTTAACTCTCCTCACGTCGGCCACTGACTCGTCAGTTCTGACCATGAGGTATCTGTAATATCGCCGACAGAGGACATGTCCAACCCTCCAGCCCCGAATATTTCGAGCCGTGGGTAAATCTCAACACCATGGCGCTGAACACCAAACAAGTAATCATTCGGAGATACGTTCGAAAGAGCCCTCATACCCCAGCCCTGGGAGATCATGGTAAAAGCTGCCAGGATATCAGAGGATAAATAGCGGAGAAATGGATAGGAGTTCCTGTTCAGCACCTGCAGATGACAAGAGCTGTATCCCTGCAAGGGTGTTGCTAAATGCTAGGAAAGCTCTAGTTTGCCGTGCTATTCCCAAGCTATATCCCCTCTGCTTTTTCAATTCCCTTTGCTGCAATCAGGGCCATTCTCTGAAGGCCTGGCATGGCCGAGGGTCACTTTGGATCAGGAGGCTTTCAGCACTTTTTCGATTCATTAACAGCCAAAGTTTTGATGCCCAGTTCCTGACTTTTATAGTATGCGCTTCGAGAACTATATCTAACCTTGGAAGAGCCGATGTGCCTTCCATTGGGTCTGGATAGAACTTCTGTACGGTACTTAATAGTTATCCACAACAAACAAGCTACATTATAGTCCACGATGATGATTCATTGTCGTCATATAATATGCACGGCGTGTAACCATACCTACAGGCTGTGAGGGGTACATATTAAGCCAGAGTATAAAGTAACCGAGGAAGCAGACAAAAAACAATTAGCAAAGGTTTTGCTGGCGAAATCCAGACCATGAGCCTCCAGCCAACTTCAATTACCGAGCGCGGAGGCAGTTGTTCCTACCCTGATGAGTACTGAATGCTTAGACAGCCCGTGGCAAGAGGGGGCAGGTAGCCAGCACTCGGCCCTCTGTCGACCTTCCCCATTTTACTTTCCCTTCTTCACATCTAACCCTCAACCTCGCATCTCCCAACAGCCATCAATCTTCCCCTGCCTTGTCCACTGATTTAGGTATACGCTTCTCTCATCTCCATCTCCATTCATACAAACCTTGCAGCCATGAAGCCCCAGTACCTCGCGTTTACCCTGGCCGCTTCTCTGGGCTCTGCCACTGCCCAATCTTTGCCAGGCCTCCCAGCTTGTGCTGTAAGTGTTCCATTTGGCGAATTTGCCTGGTTTCCTGCGATCTTTGCTTCTGAAGGCCATGGCTCCTAACGAAACAACAGCAAGACTGTGCCAATGGAGCCATTCCCTCGGAGTGCAGCCCCGTCGACGTTGAGTGCATCTGTGCCACTAGATCCTTTATTGTTGACATGGCTTGCTGTGTTGAAAAGTCTTGCGAAGCGGATGATCAGCAGAGTAAGTACACCATGCCAAATTGGCTCCTTGACCACGGTCAAGCTTACCCAAACGAACAACAAAATACACTGTGCCAGATGCAGAGCTGACGAAGTTGATCTTCAAGCGGCCATAGACTTTGCCAACGGTATCTGCGGTGGTGCCGGAGTCACTGATCTCCCCCAATCTGCCACTTGTGCTGGCGATGTAACCACAACCATCACCTCTATCGCTACTACTGCCGCTACCGACACTACCACCGAAACCAATATCAGCAACGATGGACCCACCACTACCACCACTGAGCATACTGGCACCGCGACTACCACTATCTCGACCGCGTCGGGAATCTCGACCACGTCCAAGACCTCGACCTCGAGCTTGGCCATGTCCGGAACGCCGACCTCAACTGAGACCTCAGCTGATCAGGCAGAAACTGACGGTGCAGTGCTTCTCCAAGGCAAAAACGTTGGTGTCCTTGCGGGCATTGTTGCCGGTGTTGCATTCATGCTTTGAAGGGTTAAGGCCTACTCCTGCTCGTCTGCGAATGGCATCACCAACTGCCATGTGGATCATGATGAGATAAACGATCTGTCCAAGCTGGACCGAGATGAGCGATGTACTGCACTGTATCTATTAAGCTCTACTTCTGCCCAGGCAAGAAGAGACACAACGTACTGCGTGATGTAACGAGGAAATGTCATTCAATGAACTGCTCAAACAAACTCCGTATGTATGCTAAAGCTCCATACTCTCTAAGATGATATAGAGCCATACCGAACATCAACGGTCAGCGAATCTATGAATCACGCTCGCGCTCCGCAAAGCGTGTCGCAACCTCCTGCCTCTCTTCGCGCAGCGTTATGAAAATCTGAAGCACACAAAGTTAGCTATACTTCATGCAGCCGAATAAGTAGGAGTAAAGGCACCTACCCAGAACCAGAACATCATCTCCATAAACCCGTACGTAAAAACAACTCGGTTCTTCAGGTATTCCAACCCCGAAAGCTCCCCAGGCGCCGCAGGGCCACCCGAACGGGCCACGCCCCAAACATCCGGCTTGCTCTGGTATATAAAAAATGACACCGCAAAAAAGAGGCAGAATCTCGACAAAGAAAGGAGCGTCCAGATCTCCGAATATAGGGTTGCGAGACGCGCAATAAAGGGGTTTGTACGCATGCGAGCCAGTCCACTCACTGCACTCGGAGCCTCTGATCTGGCAGCCTCGGCCATGGCTAGAATCTCATTAATGTGCGGGATTTTGATGACGAGGATCAGGTCGATTAGAGCGTCGGCGACAAGGAGAATACCGCACATTGCGAAAGGGGATTGCGGTCGAGAGAAGTTCGGGGATGCGCGGGAGTCCTAGATCGATCATTTCTTAGCGGCTGTTTTTTCAATATGAGAGCTGGCCGGAATTCAGTTCACATACAAGTTGTAGAAATTCCCCTAGCATGAACACTACATCGCTTTCGGTGACGACTTCGGATTTGGTGATGAGGTAAACAGCAAGGATGAGAAGGAAAACAGCGTGCGCCTTGATCAGGGTTTTGGAGGAGAGAAAGCCCATTATAGGGGGTAGTAGGTTGGAGAGCGACGGTAGTCGCGGACAATGTATATAGGGCTTTTTCGTGAGTTGTCCTGATGTTATGGTGAGGTAACTGACCTTGCCGAAACCTTCAGGATGTTTCCGTAGGGCTGTGTCAATCTGTTTACAATGTCCATGTTTTTATGTCAACCCGTACGGACACACAGGTGACTAAGTGGGCCAGGCTTGTCCTTAAAAGAGTTTAGATTTACGTACAATTCCCTTGCCTAGCCTAGTAGCTCACAAGCTCGCAGAAATAGCTCTTTCTAGAGAAGGTGGGGCGCCGATCGGACATGTCCGAATACTTTCTGTCAACCCATGTCGGACATAATAATATGGGCGGACAAATACGACATGACATTACTCCGTATTTGTCATTTAACATCCCTACTCCGATGTGGGGTCGGTCAAGCTTCTCCGATATCATTTTGTGGTCCCCAAAAGAAAGCAGACAAGCAACTTATAAAAGCTCTCGGAGGTCCTGCGGAAAAATTACAGACATTCTCTGCCTACTGTTGGACATTTGACGCTCATTCAATTTGCCTGGCTTCGGCCTCGAGAGCTCAGAGACAGCCATGTCGGAAGCCGTGTTTACCAAAGACCGCCATATTACATATTTCCTACGATGTCTCAAGACATTCCTACCGGGACTTTACACATCCAATGATTCTAATCGCATGCTTCTCGCGTTTTTCACCGTTTCCGGTCTTGACCTACTCGGCGCCCTGCAAAGCAAAACAACCCGCGAGGAAAGACAAGGGTATATAGATTGGATATACCATTGTCAAGTCCCCTCAGGCGGCTTTCGAGGGTTCACGGGGACAGATTTCGGGGCGGGAAAGCGGGCACTGATAAATGAAGCTTGGGATCCAGCGAATGTGCCGTCAACATTCTTTGCGTTGGTTATCCTTCTCATCCTAGGCGATGACCTATCAAGAGTGAAGCGGACTGAGTGTCTGAAATGGCTTCCTAAAATGCAGCGCCCGAATGGGAGCTTTGGCGAAGTCCTCGGCCCTGGAGATCAAGTTGAGGGTGGTGGTGACTTACGCTTCTGCTGCTTTGCTGCCGGTACGCGGTATATTTTGAGAGGACGGAGAGGCACCGGTCTCGATGATGTTGAAGATATAAATGTGGGGGATCTGGTGGCTTTCATTGAGTCCTGCCAAGTGGGTTGACTTTGTTTGCTCTTGTAACCTTTACTGAGAAGATGCAGGCCTACGATGGTGGAATGGCAGAAGGTCCATACTGCGAAGCACACTGTAAGTCCACTTTTCAATCTCACACTCAAAATATTACTTGTTAAATTTCCCCAGCCGGCCATACATACTGCGCTGTTAATACCTTGACATTTTTAAACCGTCTATCCGATGGCTCGGAACGGGTTCCACTTGTCTCGCCTGGTTCTCATCAGTTCGAATGTCTTGTCCGCTGGCTAGTCTACAGGCAAACGCATGAGTTGGGAGATGGAGAAGAGGAAGATGATGGGGGAAACGCGGATGGTCAAGCAGATGATGTGCAAAGCCTATCGAGGGCTGTAGACGAGCTCTTCTTGAGCAAGAGCATTAGCGCCCTTTCCAACATATCGCCACTCACTGAAGAATCTCTGCAATGGGCTGGCTTCAATGGACGGAGTAACAAATATGCGGATACATGTTATTCATTCTGGAATACAGCAACGTTGGATGTAAGAGCTCCAGATGACCTACAACGGGCTTCGGCTAATACGCAGTCTCAGATGCTGGACAGACTGACACTGGTCGACCCAGCGCGAAACAGGCGATACTTGCTGCAAAAGACGCAGCATTTCGTCGGGGGATTCGGAAAAAGCGTTGGAGAACTGCCAGGTAAATTGAGAACCCACCCTTCTATGTCTTCCTGGTTTCTCACTGTGCGAACAGATCTTCTACACTCTTATTTTGGGATGGTTTCACTCGCTTTCCAAGGTGAACAGGGGTTGGACAGTGTCGACCCTGCACTTTGTGCTACACACCGGACACTCCGGCATTTGCACACTCTGCCATGGTGGCAAGAGACTGAGTGATGAGCTTGAGCCGCCATATGAAAGAGTATTAAATTTGAATATACCCCCGATTTTCTTACCACATAATGAAATCCCAAACGGCATTCGCAGTGCTCGGGTGAGGCAATCGGTCGAAACTACGGAGTAGATGTGGGCTTTGGTCCACGTTTGAGAAGGCAAAAGAAAGCCTCACAACGAATCCAAGGACTCCAAGCCATCCTTCACTGCGGCTGCTGCATACTCCGTGCGGAGTAGTCTACGGCCTCCGGCCTAAATACAGTCAAGGCCAACATTATGTTCTTTAGCCACGCCAAGGACCATGTTGAAGCAACCTGACGAAATTCTATGCAGCCCAGAGAGTGTGTACTGAATCACGATGCGATTATCTCATACAATCAGCATGCAGACCAATCAATCCGAGCTGGGACTTAAAATACGAATCAAAACCTGCTATCTCCAAAACCTGTCACCCAGTCCGCTGGCGCTAGACTAGTGAAGACTAGTGGAATATGCCATCAACGCCGTTGCTAAATTTGAAGCACTTGCGCACGTCTTCGGTTCAGGGGTTGAATCCACCACGGGAAAGACGAGTCAATGTCACTCGAGGACAGGGCGTAAGCTCCTTCTTCGCCGGCATCCTTGTCGGCTCCTCATCATTCATGGCGCCGTTAGGCATTTGGTAGTATTCGAGATGAACAATCTAATATATCACTCCGCTGCGTTGTCCTAGAGCTCGATAGAAGATCGGCCAGTACGGAGCACCCATATCTTATAGATCGTAACTAAACTTAATATAACAGACAATGACAGCAATGGGCCATCATCCATGACCCACGTTTTCCACCAATCTTAAAAAAAATGGGTAAATTAGAGTAATCTTGTTGCTGCAATGGACCATGGCCCATAGGTAGACCACTCCGAGAGCTGCATTGTATGTAAATAATGTCTCATCTCATGTGAGGTCCGTTCATATCTTCCCCTCACAGTTGCTCGGAGCTTCCTCTCACGCTCGTCTCTCCTTACCTTCACTTCAATTCATCATCAAGCGTTTTTTACTGTATGATTTTTAGTATAACCCATGTGCTGATCAGATCGAGTCACATCATCCGTTCCTCTTGCCTCCCGCCACCCGCAGTCAGTTCCTGTTCCTGTCCCCCGTTCCAAAAAAAAAAGTCATCCTGCGACATACGACTCCGACCTCAATTCCATCGCATAATTCTGCACCGTCAAATCGCTGCCAAAAAAGCTAACACTGACAACGTTTTAACTTCTCAAACACACCTTCTTGCGGTACTCGACTGTTCGATCACCTCCTTCGCCGCTCGAACTAGCGTTTGACCTCATAGCCCGCCCCCTTTCGAAACTCACTCCCTAAAACACAGCGCTGTTCTCGTTGGTCTCTCCCCTCAGTCGTTGGATGGCAGCCTCAAAGAACCCGCAATCGACCGGTGAGCACATATTGTCTTACATATCAGACATATACAACTCCGCGGACTTCATAAGGACGTGCGGAGGTTACCTCGAAACACATGCCGCCTCCCAGAACCAGAGCGGAGGTTCAAGCCCAGAAACAGAAGGAAAAGCTTGCCCAATCCTACAATGAGTTACTGAAGTAAGAATCGCTTGCACTCATCCCTACGCTGTTTGCGCGAGACGACGTCTGACAATACTTGCCACTTTAGAGAGTTTTCATCGAAAGACCTCCGACATGTTGGAAACTATACCTTGGGCAGGTTGATTGGAAAAGGCTCCTTCGGCAAAGTGTACCTTGCTTCGCATAAACTCACGAATCACTCGAAGGTACGGCATAGATTCATTGAGCCGTCGCGGATTTCGCTGATAGCGCGTAGGTCGTGCTGAAGTCTTCGGACAAAGAGGATACAAATTTGGCACGAGAGATTCACCACCATCGCCAATTCCTACATCCCCATATTGCGCGACTATATGAGGTCATTGTGACTGAAAAGCTTGTTTGGCTGGTTCTTGAATATTGTCCTGGTATGAACCGCGTTTGCGCGCGACAATGGTTGAGCTATCTGACACTGAACAGGCGATGAACTATATAATTTCCTTCTACAAAACGGGCCGCTACCTATTGACAAGGTCAAAAAGATCTTCACTCAGCTTGTCGGCGCTGTATCCTACGTTCACAGCAAATCATGTGTTCACCGAGACCTTAAGTTAGAGAATATTCTACTTGACAAGCATGAAAACGTGAAACTTTGCGATTTCGGTTTTACAAGGGAATATGAAGGAAAAGCGAGCTATCTCCAAACTTTCTGCGGTACCGTGTGCTACAGCGCACCGGAAATGCTCAAGGCCGAAAAATATGCCGGGGAAAAAGTGGATGTCTGGAGCTTGGGCATCATTCTTTACGCGCTCATTGCAGGAGAGCTGCCGTACGATGACGACGACGATCAAGTCACCAAAGCGCGGATTCTAAGCGAGGAGCCGAAGTACAATGACAAGTTCCCGGACGATGCCAAAGCACTCATAAACCTCCTCCTCTCAAAACGGCCTATTCTCCGACCTAGTCTAAACGATGTACTCGCCCATCCGTTTCTTTCCGTACATGCTGCTGAACAATTAGCCATTCTGAAGCTTCCTCGACCGCCGCCTTTCTCAACGTCCTTGGAAAAGACGACTCTACATCGAATGAAAAGCGCGGGCATTAATGTCGACGACGTGGTGGAGAGTGTTATGGCGCAGCGTTGCGATGCGCTTGCCGGTTGGTGGGCTCTTCTGATAGAGAAGGAGCAGCGGAAAGAAGCCAAGAGGGAGAGAAAACGAAGAGAACGGGATGCAGAGGCGAAAAACATTCGCCGCCTAAGTGCAGCTAGCAGTCGCCTGGAGAAGATATCTGCTGCGCTAGTTGAAGTGGATGAAGAGAGCCATTCGACAACCCCAGTTCATGAACGTGGTCGGAGGAATCGCCGAAGCTTACCCTCACAGCTTGCTGTTCCTGAGTTGCCCATGCTCCCAGAGCCGCCCCTGCAGTCTCCCGCGCTCACCACACCACCGCCGCCCCCAGTCGACAAAGACTCAATTCGTTCTAACAGCTCCACGCGGCGCCTCCCTCCGGTGCCACCTCCCAAAGACCGAAGGCGCTCCCGCCCTAGCACACTCCACGTGAGCGCATCTCAACCTGAATTAGCGCAGCATGGTGGGATTTTCCGACGTCGAACTGGTCGTCGCCAGTACCCGATTATCAGCCAATTAGCATCCCTAAAGCATTGGTTTGTAGAATCTGCAAAGAGAGCCAAGTCTCCACACCCAAAGTCCGCCGGTGGTACATCTCGCAAGTTTCTGTCGGAGAAGTTGAGTCCTGCGAAAGGTCAAGAGGGGAGCAAGAAGACGGCGTTGGCTGCTTCAACAACTAGCCAGCCGAGCGATCTGGTGACACCGACTCAAATAAAACGCGCCTCCAACGCAAGCAGTCTAGCGCCAAGTAGCGCGTCCTATCCCCATCGACGTCACTCTTACCCTCGACAGCCGCGGCCATTGAGTACCGGTGCAAGTCATCGGAACTCATTGTCGCCGTCGCCCCTTACTCCAAGGGGCTCGTATCGGCGGTCTTCAGTTGGTTTAAGGGGCCGCAAGTCAACATCTTCATCCGTCTCGTCTATTCGAAGTATTCATCACGGTCATTCTCGTTCGAAGGCTTCATCTATATCATCCAACAGCATCGGCTCTGCGTCCACGCCAACCGCTCGGGTTGCTAAATCCCCGCACACTTCGGTCAAAGTGCTGCCTACGACACCTGGTGCATCTGCGCGCTTCCCTACCAATATTCGGTTAGTCCGAAACCCAGGTCATGGGTTGCGAGACATGGATGAGCCTGACGGTATACCTAGTTCGTCTTATAATGAAGCTGTTCCTGCGCCCATGCTATATTCTCCTTCGTCGAGTCTCGTTTTCGCACGTCGGAAACGGTCTACATTCAAGGGGCCAATGGTTCATGTGGCTAATCTGATGGCATCGGGCGGAATAACATCTGAATACCCCAGCGGAGATATCCCTTCCCTTAAAACAGCGCGGCCCACGACACGGAAGAGCCAGATCATTGAGGAGGAAGAGGACGCAGAAGACGAATATGAGGAAGTGGATGCATTTACTGGGACTGAGGAAGAACCGGCTTCGCCAACTGGGGTCGTTAGCTCGGAGCTCTCAGATCTCGATAATTCCCTCGGCCGCGGCCAGCCCGTCCTCGAGCCTGCTCCTGATCTTGACTCAAGTCCTCTCCGACCTCCGCGCTCCTCTTCACTGAAAACAGCCTCGCGAGACCCCATCGTTGGATCGAGCCATGCTGACAAGGCTGTGTTGGATGCTTCTCCAAAATCCGTTGTATCCGGAAAACGCAGCTTGAACCAAATAACAGACGAAACTGCGACAGCGAATTAGAAACCATTCGTCTGAAGTACCTCGTCGTTGTTTTTAGCCATTCGTTCTGCACTTATACCCTCTTGCGGCTGTTTTTCTTTGCATCTATGGATTGCGCGAATGATAATGGGCCCTGGATTTTCCGTACACTTTGGCATTTGATATCTCTCGTCTCCCGTTCCTTATCTTATCCTTGACTTGAGAGTTATGGCCAGTAGATGGCTGTGATCGACATATACCCCTGGTTTCGTTGTACTTTATTGTCAGATTTGAACATCTTGATCTGTCCCAATCTACGGTGGTCACTTTCTTGCTCCGTTCGACTGGTTACCATGCAGGCAGTGTCCCCGGGCTGGTCCTGGGCCGATATTATATAGACTTAGAACTGAGCCTTTTTTTTTCTTAGTGTATATATCACGAGTGTCGAAAGAGCAATCCCTTGGAATATTGGAGGGCGGCAAATAATACTACCGGCACTGACCCGAGCCTCTTCGTCCATGGCCTAGTTACGTTACGAGTTACACTGGTAGTCCCCGCGAGCCTTGACTCTTCGTCCAAGCAACTGGCTGATAAAGCGGCGAGCATCTTTGTCCATGGCCTAGTTGCGTTTAAACTGATAGTCCCCGCGAGCCTTGACTCTTTGTCCTTGCGACTGGCTGTTAAAGCGGCGAGCATCTTCGTCCATGGCCTAGTTGCGTTTGAACTGATAGTACCCGCCAGTCAAATAAAGCAGAATGAAGAACCAGGCTCCATATATATGGGCGAATAACATGTCTTATTTTCTTATTTTCAAGTCAAATCACAAACATCATTTGCAGTGCAATCCCAACTAAGCTCAAGCTCCCTCACCTTCTTCATCTCCGATTCCGTCCATGTTCCGCACAGCCCTCCATCGTCATCCCTTTTTTCTCAATTACTGTTCTTTTCATATATAGCTTTATCTTTCAGAACACTCAATAGGCGCTCTATCCTCTTCAGGGCGCCATTCACCAACATGGCCTTTGCCACGATAAATTCCGCTCCTCCGACACAGGCCTCAGCAACAACAACTCAAATCGCTGCGATTGAGAATGCCTTTGGCGCTGAGCCCGCCCTGAAGAAGCGAATCTACGATGCGATCGGTTAGCTTCTCCGGGCATATGGTATTTTAAAACAAAGCGATTAGACACTAATGGATTGTACTCTATGCCAGGATCCATCCCCCAATATTCCCCTCTGTTCGAAGACATTGCTCGATATACCTGCGGTTTGCGGACAAGAAATGCGAATCCCGTCCAGCCTATCCAAATCCTTCAAGACGAACCCGTCGCGAAAAAGCGCAAGCTCGAGAATGGGACCGGGGCTGGGAGCACTCAATCACTGGTCGATCTGAAAACGCACAATGCTTTACAGTTCTACATGCAAGATGTATCGTTTGCCATGCCGCAGCGAAAAAAGTTGACACTAGAGGTTACGGCGGGAAACAAGTATCTTCGGGCACGGAACCAGGCGTCGAAGGAAGTGGAGTTTGGCGTGCCGCTGAATAAAATCCGTATGTTACTCTTAATTTATGAGCACTGATGCTTTTATCCCACCTGCTAAAATCGCGCAGAACATGTTTTGTGTCTGCCCGTGCCGGAAAAGAGTCAGCGACAGTTCAACTTCTGCGTTATTCCCCAGTATGCCGATGGAATTAACCCCCCTCCGGAGGGCGAGCCTGCCCCTGAGGCAATTATGTGGACGGTCAATAACGGGCCTGCGAAGTCCGCGTTCTCGGGACATGGCCAGCAGATTGGGATCGGTGACGGGGAGACGTCTGAGAGTCTGGTGCGCCGGGTGCTGGATGAGAATCTGTCACATATACGGGTTGTACGCCCGGATGCGCAGGAGTTCGTCAGCGCCATGCTGGAGGCGCATCGCAAGGGGGAGAAGGCCTATCATATCAAGGCATTCCGTGGCAGTAAAGAAGGTATGCCATGCGTACAGAACCTCTCGGATTACACTGACTGCTGTACAGGATATCTCTTTCTTCTGTCCACGGGGATCTTCTTCGGTTATAAGAAACCTTTGCTTTTCTTTGCCTTTGAGAACATCGATTCTATATCTTATACCTCTGTCCTTCAGCGGACCTTCAACCTGAACGTTGTAGCGCGGGCCATTGGCAGTGACGAAACGCAAGAGTTTGAATTCTCCATGATCGATCAGGCGGATTTTTCCGGTATCGACAGCTACATCAAAACGCATGGCTTGCAGGATGCCAGTCTCGCGGAAGCCCGTCGCGCAAAGCGCTACAATATCAACGGCGCAAAGACGGAAGAAACTGCTGAGGCCGACGCCCAAGGTGCCGAGGGCGAGCTGCAGAAAGCTCAGCGCGAACTAGAAGACCAAGAAGACGAAGAAGAGGAGGACTATGACCCCGGCAGCGAGGGGGAGAGCGAGGGAAGCGGTTCTACCAGCGAAGAAGACTCAGACGAAGACCAGGATGACGATGCAGACGGGAATCTGGTAGACGAGCTGGGAAGCGAAGCGGAAGACATTCCGGAAGATGATTTGTAACTCTAACGACCTTGTACTGTACGTGTACTTGGGTGAGGCGTCTACCGTCCGATTTTGTTGTAGTTGTGCCTGTTCTAGACATCGTTAGAGCCTACAGGCTGCCCGCTACTTATATATTCGCCGATAGGGTGTTTCTATCAGCCATGGCAAGTTGACGGTTGACACACGGTCAACGGTGGTGGACAGTATCCACGTAGTCTAGACTCAGGCATCCATCATCAATGACCCGTCCACGGCACAGGAACCACACAAGGTGATGGCTCACTACTCCTCCATACATAACCCGTTGGAAGGCCGTCCATGCCCAGCCAGGGTAGGGAAATCGGAAGGAGCATCAATTGGACGCCGTTCGACAGTGGTCGATAGTGGGTCATTTTGTGGTGTAGACGTGTCAGAAGGATAAGCCCTGCAAAAAGGATGTAGACTAGGGGGATCAGGATGCAGTGTGTCATACTCCGTATGTGTATGCAAAATGGAGAATTCAGCAGGTACGGAGACGTGCACCAAAAGTTTCCGCACACGCTAGTAAGCTTTGTGTAACTTTTAAATTTTTTTACATATAATTATTATAAAAATAAATTTTAAGTGTATATAAACTATACTAAAACTAAAGGTGCCCCCCTAAAATTAAAAAAATAACCTAAAATTAAAAAAATAAAGCTATTTAAACACTTAATTATTATTATTTTTTAATAAAAAAAGGTTTTAATATATAAAAAGCTACCCTTTTACCCTACAGCCCTTTTAACTGCGTGTATTTTAATTTTTATAAGCCTTTTAATACTTATTGCCTTTTTTACAGCAAATAACCTTTTAAATATATTAAACTAGCCTTTTAATTTAGTATTAAATAGTTTTTTAAAAAAGCTTTTTTTAGGCTTTATACCAGGCTACTTTACTAGTTTTTTTATTTTAAGGTGCTTTATATAAAGTTATACACTTTTTTATTTAGGCCTAAGTAAATTTAATAATATTAAGATTTAGTAAATTACTAGGCTAATTTATAATTTTTTAAACCTTCGCGATATTATATACATGCTTTTAAATTTAGTGTTAATAAGCGGGGGCCCTATTTTTAAAAATAATAATATTTAGCTAATTAATTATGCATTTTTAAGCAAAAGGGATAAAAAAAGGCTTTAAAATTTTTTTTAAAAAAAAGGTGTTAGTATTTAACCCCGTAGTTAGGAATAGCTTTAAAAATTAATTATTTAGTATTAATATTAATTAATTCCTTTACCAGCGCTTTTTTTTAGTTTATTATTAATTTTATTTTACCTTTATTAAGGCCTTTGGCCACCTTTTTTTAGGTGTAAATTAAGTTAATTTATAGCTATACTAACCTTTTACTTTACCTTTAGTATAGGCTCTAGCTTATAATTTAACTTATTAATTTTATAAGCTACTTAATACTTTTACTAGGCTAATTTTACTTTAAAAATATATAAAGGCCCCTTTTTATTATAAGTAAAGTAATTTTATATTATAAAGTTAAAATATCCCTTTTAACGCCTTTAAATACAAGTCTAATTATATTTATTTTTTATTATTTTTTATACTTAAATTAAGCCATGGCGTTAGCCTAAAATAACTAAGGTTTTATTAGTAAAAATAACGTATTTTTAGTCTTTAAGGGTTTAGTTTTAATAAGCTATATAAAACTTTAAGCATTTAATTTAAGTAGCTTTAGTTAAACTAGGTTTATAAAAGGGCTTAATAAAAAAAAGTTTATATTTATAAAAAATTTATAAAATAAAGAAATAAAAAATACTAGCTTTAAATATAAAAATTTTTAAAAACTTTTTATGCCCTAAGTAATTTATTATAACTAAAGTTATTATAGCTTTTTAAATATTTTTATTAATTTTAACAGGCCTCCCAGAGCGCTTGCTATTTTTAATAAATTTAATATATATTTAAAAAACTTTAGTTTTTTTTAGCTAATAGCCCCGGTGTTTGCCTTTTTTAATAGTATTATAAATAATATATATAAAAAGTTTTAGGAGCTTAAAGATTTTTACCACATGTTTATTAATAACTTAAAAAGTTAAAACTTATACCTAAACCTTATTAAAATAAAACCTACCTTTAGGCATGTTATATAAGGGAAACTAGCGTTAAGAATTAAAAAAATTATAAAAGGGGATTAAGTAGTTAATTTAAGCTAAAAATTAGGTTAAAATACTAAAAATTTATTAAAATAGGCTAAGTTATGGTATAAGAATAATATTATAAAGTTTATTAAATTATAAAATATAAAGTTATTAAGGGGGTATAAAAAAGTAATTATAAAAAAGTATTAAATATTATTATTTTTATAATAATTACTATATATTCCTAAACACGTAATACCAGCCCTTGGCATTCTTAGTATGCGGAAACTTTTGGTGCATGTCAGGGCTAATGTTTTTCCATTTAACATTACTAGAGCTAATCCACCATTGGTCCGGAGTTAGTGCCTTAGGTAACCTAAGCTTTAGCCTTAGGCCGCCAAGGCTTAATATATTTTATTATTATATTAGGTTATATAACTTAACTAGGTTATTAATATTTAAGGTTTTAGTTATTAATTAAGTAAAGCTAGGGTAGGCCTTAAATATAAGCTAAAATAAAAACCCATGCATAAAGTATTTAAACTTATATTTATTTTTTAATTAAAAATAGCTTAAGTATAGCTTAAAGGTTTATAAAAATAACTTTAAAGCTAGCCTTTTTTTTAAATTTTTAAGTAATTTTTTTAATATTATTTAATAGGGTTTAAAATACTTTATTTTTATTAATTAAATTTTTTTATTAATATTTTTATTATTAGTAAAAATTTTTAAAACTTATTAATTTTATAGTTAAAGTTACTTTTACCTATTACTTTTTAAACTTTTTTAATAATAATATTTTAAATTAAATTTTTAAAGGGTAAGTAAAGGTAATTTATAAATATTTTAGTTAAGGTTCCCAAGACCTAGACTTAAATAACTAAAAAAATATTTTTTTTTTTATTTATACTTAAGGATTTTATTACTATTAAAAATAGTTAAAAAAAAAACCTAATTTAAATAATTTAGTTTACTAGCTTAGTAAAGTGCAGGGTAAAATATACCCTTTACCTTATTATTTTATATTATTATTAAAGCCTATTAATTTAAAATTTATTATAACTAAAGCTATTTTAAAAAAAAAGTAGCCTAAAACTATAACTCCTGGCCTATTTATTTTTTAATTTTAATATAATTAATATTACGTGTTAAAATTAAAATATTTTTTAAAAAAAAATAAAAAAAAGTTATCCCTATAACCCGGAGCTAAAATAGTATTAAATTATTAATTTTTATATTAATTTTYTTRTTAATYCCCGYGCTAATTTTCTTATTAATATTTTTAATAAGCTTTAAAAAAAATTAATTTTAGTAATTTTTTTAATTTTAGTTTAAAGTTAAGCTTAAATAACTTAAGTTATTATTTTAAAGCTACTTTACCTTTAAAACCTAGTGCTAGTAAAGCTAGCTTTAAAAGGTTTAAAAGTTTTAAATATATATAAAAAAGGTATTAAAAAACTATTAAAAATTATAAGCTTTATTAAAAAAAAAGGCTTTTTAGGAGCCTAAGATTAAGTTTAAAAAGGTTAAAAAGTTAAAAAAAAAAATATAATAAAACTTAAAATTTAATTTAAAAATTTAAAAAATTGCTTTTATAGCGCCCCTAAAAAATTTTAAATAAATAATAAAAAAATTATATTTATTATTTAAAATACTTTAAGAAATACCTATAATTATTAAAAAAGTTAAGTTAAACTTTAAAATAACAAGCAAACCTAGATAAATTTTAAAAAATTTATATATATATAGGTTAACCTAGTTATAAACCAGGGCTATTACGCCGCCTAGTATTTTTTAATTAAATAATAAAATATTTAAAATATTACTTTTTAGGGACTTTACTTTATAAAGTTAGGCCTGTACTTTAATAATCTAAAGTTTAGGGTATAAGTACTTACTAAAACTTATAATAAAAATATTTACTTGCACTTAAAAAAGTTAAAAAAACCCTTAAAAACTATACTTAAAATAAATATAGTAGTAATTTATATAAAATTTATTAATAAGTATAATAAGGCCTTAAAGGCTAAAAAAAAAAGTCCGGAGCTAGTTTTAATTTTAAAAATAAAAAAAAATAAAAATAACTTAGGATAAAACTAGAATAGCAGCGGAGCGGCTTTTTTAAAAAAAAAAAAAATAAAAAAATAAAAAAAAAGTAGTAACTTGCTTTTTAAAAAGGAGAAAAAGCACTATAAAAAAAAAATTTTTATTTTAATTATAGTAAATCAGGCTATTTATTAAAGGCCTGTCTAAATAAAAAAAAGCCTAAAAAAAAACTAGTAAAAAATAAATAGTAATTTCCTAGCCCTAAGTTATTAAAGTTATATAATTTAAAAAAGAAGACTGCTTTCCCTATCCTTACAAATCTTAAAATATAAAAAAATAAGGTAAATTAATAATTTAAGGCACTGCTTAATACTAGGGCTAATATTAATTTTATTTTAGTTTAATATTTATAAAAACAAGGTATTAAAATAAATACTAACCGCATGGTATAACTAGTCTAGTATACTAATAATATTTTTATTTTTTACTACAGGCATTTGCAAGCTTGTACTTAGGTTTATAATTTAAAAAAAATTATAAAAATATTTAATTTAATATATTATATTATTAATTTTATTTACAAGAACTATTAAGCAGTCCTAAAATATCCCTAAATAATTAAAATAAATCTAGACCTTTATTTTATTACAGTAAAATAAACCTAGTAAAGCTATATACCTTTTATTAAAATTAAAATATTATAAAAATTTATAAAAACTATGCGCAAGGGACTGGTACTTATAATACTTTATTAATTAAAAATAACTAAAAAAAAAGTAAAAATAATTCTGCTACCCTAGTATATTTACTAGAGTAAAGTTTTTTTTAAATAAAAAGCTACTTAACTTTTAACTAGTAAAG